GTGTTGGACTGCGTTTGCATAGCGACGCACACCGCTCGAGTAGATGATTCCGTCCTGCAACGAGTTTGTTGCGCCAATCATGCGGCGTGAATAAATTAGGGCAAGGTTTCCTACCTGCCCACCGATGCATGTACTGAGACCATTTTTTATGTTGTGAACGTAGTGCTCTTTCTTTATTTTGGAAGACGCGTTGCTGCATTTATTATGGTACAATCACTTGAGAGTTGAGAAATTGGAGAGCGAGCAAGCTTTCCCAACTTTGTCTCTTTCTCTCTGGCACTGCCCTGTTTCAGTTTCAGTAGGCATATCTACTAGCAGGTACAAACTGCTCTAAAGCAGGTAAAAAACGGGAAGCTTAGGACGGTGCGGACTCCGTGTTTCGCGCTTTTCGCAAGGTGACAGGGTAAATGCTTTTGTGAGATATGCGGAATATGCAAGCGATTTTGTTATGCCCGTCGTTTGCGTCTCTCCAGCAAAACGAATAAGATGATCTACTACAAAGGCGCGATCACAAGCTAAGATTTAAGATAGCAGTCGTTTGCTTCGGTAATCCATGTAGCTGTATTTTACCCTGCTCTCTGCAACACCGTGTCATGACGAAGAGCTGGAACGGTCACGGTTTGTGCTGGCCTCCCGGTTGACAGAAACCCGCGTCGCCCGCATCAGAACCGAGTGCGCTTGGGCTGTTGATGCTCAAGCCTTTCATCCGCGGCTTGTCGCCAGCTCATCCTGCTGCTCAACGGTGAGGAAGCGGCGAGAGTAACCTCGGAAGTGAATGTAAATCCTCGTTCATTCAGTTATCCGGTGTCAAAGTGTGGAAGATGTCCAACGTGTACTGAGGGAGGGAACTACGAGCGTTTTGCCTTGCTTTTATAACCGAAACCAGACCAACGAGATAACTGCCTTGCGTACTCTAAAATGACGGAAGCAATAAGTTTCAACAGGTCGAGTACGTCACCGGGGATGTAGGCGAGACGGTGCACACTGTTTAAACGCTTGCAGTACTCACGAGTGGTACCAGGAAAGCGACGTCAACAGAGAAGGAGCTCGCGATTCAGCATTATGCACTGCTACGGGCCCGTGTATCTTCAAAGTTCGGGGTGGTGGCAGTATAAAAAAAAGACGCATCAGCGCCCCACACCAGTGTTCACGAATAAAACCGGTCACAAACTCCCAAGCCCCACCGCTCTTCTCGACACCGACACGACATACGACAACAAACTGCATCAAAACGCCCCAAAAGTGAAGGCGTCTGCTCCCGTACTGCAATTGCTGCAACTAGCGGAAGTGAAGTGTTGGGCGGATGTCCGGATGTCCTTCACAAAAATATATAAAAAATTCTTTGCGCAAGGATCATTTTCATTTATTATTGTATACGTAATGACAAAATCCCAATAATTTGTTTTCCTATCTGATTCAAGCTAGTCGGCCTGCTCATAACACTGGTCAAGCAAGAAAATAACAAAAATTTGAACTTTTTCATGACCGGTTTAAGATTTATTGTTAACATATCGTTATTTATTGCAACGGATTAACATTATAGATTTTGCCTCCATACTTTTTAAATGCAAACAGTTCTAACACACGGCTGTCCATTCCGCCGTGTTTTGTGTATTCTTCTATAAATCTGTAATGGTCAGCGACCACAGAGCTCAACCGCACATGTCAAGCTTATATATGCGCCGCGGGGAGAAATGGGTATCGAGTAGGAAGTGTCGGGCGTAGTGTTGGTTGTTTTGTTTGTGTACATGTCGGTGCTGCGTAGCTGTGTGCTGTGTTGCCTGCGTTGTATGTAGGGTTGCTGTGTAGTCGTGGTCGTTGTAGTGTTAACAGACTCGTTTTTTAAAAAAAAAACAGGCTGTTAGAAATCTCGATAGGTGGCGCAAGTTACCGCCCGATTCTAAATAGTTTGCTCAAGTTATTTATCCATGTAAATTCGGCATTCGTCTTTTTTTTTTTTTTTTTTTTTTTGTCTAGCGGCTTTTTGAAGCCGTTGAAGCTACCGACGCCGCCGACCGCCGACAACGCACGTACGTACCTTTGCAAGTAGCTACGTCCGCCGCTTGGAGACTTTACTGTGTATAAAACACATCGAACGAGAACTAACGCGCCCTGTGTGCTTTCAATTCGGCTGAAAGGCGCGCGGCTTGCTGGGCTCGTCTCTCGCCTGTTCTCGGCCGCTGGCCGCCATGTTTCATAAGGAACACGCTCGAAACGGTTTTGCGGAAGGCAGACACAGTGTAGCGTGTTAAGTTTACACAGCACCTCATATGTAGACGAAAAACACAGATGGCCTCGTGTAAAACGAACACGTTTCGACGTGTCCGCTATGGGACAACGGTTTACACGTCTGGGCGTGTTATTTTTGCTAACAGTGTAGGTGCGTACCTAAGTTCATTTTCATATGAGTAACTGTAACTGTATCTTAGGTACATTTTTTAAGTAACTTTTACAACCCTGGTTTTTAGTGCTTCTTGAAACTAGCGTGCAGGAAAACCATATTTCCCGAACCTCTTATATTTCTTTATTACGCAAAAATTGACTACTTTAACAATTATTCAACTAACATTTATATTTATACAATGTCCATGGTACCGATTCTTATTGAATTTATTGTTGGTCGTGTTGGGACAGACCTTGAAATTTGACAAAACATATTGAAAATAATTCTTACTTCGTTTTAGCAGGCCGGTTCTTCACATCATTGAAGCAATAAACGAATGAAGAAAAATACGGGCTTGCCAATAGGAAATGCTATGTCGTGAAGACACAAATTCTCAAAAGCTTTCTGATAGATGCCCATGTTAGTAACGTGTCATATTCCCAGCAACAGCAATCACTGCCTCCATCCCTCGCGGCACAGAGTCGTTCAGCGATGTGACAAAGTATGGGTCCCCTCGCAGCCTGTCCCACTCGTTGCAAACTGCCTGCCACAGATCTTCCGAGGTCCAGGCGATGCTTTAATCAGTTTTCACACATTCTCACATGGGTTCATATCCGCCCCGCTTGGAGGCCAATTCAGCGTTCGAGAGCAGCGCTCTTCGAGGAGGAGACGGATTTCTCTTGAAGTATGTGCCGGAGACTGGTCGTGCTGGTAGATGTAATCCCCATCGGGGAAAGGCCCGTCCAAAGCGCAGGGGACCAAGACGTCGTCGATCAGGCGAGCATATACTTCTCCCGTGAATCGTCCTTCCAGCCTGACGAGAGGGCCAAGTCCATCCCGAGAAATAGCTCCCCATATATTAACAGAGCACCGGCCACTGGAAAGCACTTGCTGGAAGTAGGCAGGACCATACCTAGGAAGAACAAAAAGTGTTAGTTAAACGGGTTCACAAAAAAAATCTTATTTCTTGAAAAGTAGCAGGTGTAGTGACACGCCGCCTGGCATGTCCGCCTTCGTCCCCCCTTTATTGTTTTCTACGATACAAATTTCGCGTTCATTCAACACATTACCTGTGACAGTTCGGTCTCCACACATGTCGTCTTTGGTGGAACCTTGTGCAAAATATTGACTCGTCACTAAAGATGACGTCTCTCCAATCGTCGAACGTCCACGCCGATGCTCCTGTGCAAATGTTAGCCGCAGCGCCCGATGACGAGCTGTCAAAAATGATTTCTGACAAGCCATTCGGCTTGCCAGTCCACTTTCCCGGAGGCGTTGCCTTATCGTGTTTAAGGACACATTAAGGCTCAAGGCTTGTCTGATTTGTTGCGCAGACATGAAAGGATCATCGACAATCGCTGCAACAATGAAATGATCCTCTGCGACCGAGGTTGCTCGTCTGTGGCTTCGGCGAGGTGCATCTTCGACTCTTCTCTCGTCCCGGTAGGCTCGAATTATTCTGTTTACGGCCACAAGTGATATGCCCGTCCGTGATGAAATGGTTCTTTGGGGCAATCCACACATCGACATTGCAATAAGGCCAAGCCTGTTTTCGTTTGATATTCTCGGGGGCATTTTAAAGCTGAGCAGAGAAACGAAGTTTCCATTTTACAATGAAAGAGAGGATTAGAAATGTATCCTGTTCAGTGTCATGCGCAGTGCGTTATCAACCAAGCATGACCTGTATTTAGTCACACCTACGCATTTACCACGCGGGGCTACCATATCTCGGTGACCTTGCAGTTCTCTGATAAAGGCCACCTTCTTTAAAAAACAAAAACAAAATCGAGGAGCGACTTTTTTTTTTTTTATCTTCGAGTCACGCATCGGTGATTGTTTCGGAGCTGGGAGTGTAACTCCAGAAAACAACAGCGGCATAAGCTGCCAGAGTGAGCCGGTAGATGACGCATGCAGTCTCTCCGGCCAGCGCTCCCGCGTTATGTTGTAACAGTTGAGCACACTGTACGTAAATAGATGGTAAGGCCCCGAGGGATCTGTTAATGTTCCCCGGTGTGTTCTGAATATGCCACGACTAAAAGAGAAGATGTTTTTGAATATGCGGCTCCGTGTCTATCACGTGCGCGTTCCCGAAGTCGATAGGATGATCAAGTACCTCACCTTGTTCCGCGACAGCGCTACGCTTGCGCTCGAAAGTGCGCACATCGTTCTGGCGCTGGCGCATGCGTTCGGGAAAATATTTAGCTTCGCCGATGTAAGCGGCGGGGCACTCTGCATACGGTACCTTACTAACCACACCTTGTGCTTTCTATTTTTGGGGCAGACCAGCGGAATGCATTGCCACGAAAACTAAATTTTCAGTGAACAAGGGGTTAAGGCGCAAACGAGCTGGTAGTGGTTAAACATTTTACTAAAACCCCAAGACTGGGACGAGAAGGGACGGATAAACAGAAAGTCTCAAAGTCCCTTCTCGTCTCAGTCTCGGGGTTTTCAGTAAAACGACTAAGTTTTCAATTTGCGTAGGCGCTCATCTGCCTGCAAAACGAACGAGACGGCCGATACTGGGCTGAAGCGACGATATCAAGAGATAGCTGCACATTGACGTTCTCAGCATCAATACCCGGTTATCAACGAATGATTGCTCTCGCCTGCTGGCAGACTGCTCATCGGGACAGCCTATTGTCGCAATCTCTGGGCTATTAAAGCGGCAGTCGGTGAACAACCCTTCGCAGACCATCGCCACGAAAACTAAGTGTTCAATTTTTGTAGGTAAGATTTTATATTCTTTCACTTGCTATTTGTAAGTGCGCGGGTTTACATTTCGCTGGTCTGCTGTTTTTTTGTTTTACGTTTTTTGCTGTTTGTTTTTTGGTGTTTTCACGAAGATGGCTAAAAAGGTGACTGTCTCTCCCGCCTGAAAAAAATAGCTCGTGATGATGCATGTATTAAGTGTTCGGAGTGCGCAAATTATTACCATATGGGCATGTGTTCTGGACTGACAAAAAAAGTAATGGCGTCAATGAACGACGCAGAAATGTCTGAGTGGCGATGTAACACCTGCAAGTTGTATTCCCAAGGACAGTCTGCGGCTCCCGAGGTATCTCAAGGGACGTCACAGCTGACCCCAAATGAGAAAAGACTGGAAATGGTGTACTCGAACAAACTGAATCTATCAATGCAACGTTTACCTCCGTCCTTAATAGGATGTCTTGCATTGAGAGGTCTCTCGAGGCGCAAACTTCGAGGATCGACACGATGATGCCCAATATAGGAAATCAAATTAAAGGAATTGCAGAAATCAAGGCACTTATGTATGATTAGGCAACAGGCATGAGAATTGATTGTTCATATGGATAACCAAGACAAAACAATAAATGAACTACAACAGAAAATCGGTAAACTAGAGGTAAGAATTTCACAAAAGAATGTAGAGGTTGGCGAGCTAAGAGAGCGTATCTACAATGCAGAGCTGCACTGTAGACGCCAGAATATTGAAATCCGCGGTATAGTCCAACAATCAAATGAAAATACTATGAGCGTAGTAGAGAGGGTCGCAACCAAACTGGACCTAGCGCCAGTGACTCCGAATGACATCGAAGCTGCCCACAGGCTAAAAGCTAAAGAAGAAAGGATCACACCATCTTGGTAAGATTCTCCGAGAGGCGGACAAGGGACCGGTGGGTGAGAAAAAGTACTACTCTTAGACATGAGAACAGTTATATAAATGAAACCCTGACTGGAGCGCTGAAAAGTCTCTTGAAGTCCACCAGGGCGATGACAAAGGAAAAAGAGTACATGTATACATGGATGAAGAACGGAAAAAAATTCGTAAGGCAGAAGTAGGGAGCAGCTATGATTGAGATTGAGAGCGAACAAGACTTAATAAAAATCAGGTAATCATGGAATCGTTCTCTTAATCGTTTCGTGAGTGGGACGCATAGATAGAAAGTTCAAAAGTAAGTAACGCTGACACTAAACGAAGCTTAATTCGTGTAAATGTGAGGAGTTTTTACAGATTTTGGAATCAGTTAATGTTATTTTTAACCACGGGATTACCAAGTTTGGATGTACTTATCTTGAGTGAGGTCAATTCTGATGAGGCAGGTTATATGAATAAGAAGGCAGGTTGTGCTACATTGTCTTTGCCAGGCTTTCATATTTTGTGCTTATGCCAAGAACTAAGAAAAAGGAAGGGGGCAGTGGCGTAGCAACGTGTTTTTGAATGGGGGGCAAACCCCCCCCCCCTCCCCCGGGTCGCATATTTTTACTATTTTATTAGTGATATGGGGGGGGGGGGGGCCAAACTTGCCGAATCGAAAATTTGGCGCCGAATCTTCGGATTCGGTGGGGCCGAACTTTTTCCCAACGTTTCTAAAGCTTTGGCAAAAATTTCGCGAAGATTCGTTAAAATTACTGTTACAAACTTAATGTTGATATTTAGTTTTTTCTCACGAGAAAAGGTTTATGTTTTTTTTTCTTAATATTTAGTGCCTATTGACACAGTTATTACCAAATAAGGTGATATTCTGCATGATAATTGTATCGGTGTCGCTTTTATCTGTTTACTTGCAATTTTGGTGTCTGCTTCTAGAAAGTGGCGTGACAACGAGGTTGGGTAGTAGCCGGCGCAATCACGAATCACGCTACCAGAGTTTTGATTCTGAGACCATCAGCGCACGCCTGCAAGTGTGTTTACATTGTTAAAATAAAGGCAGTCACTACGTTCTTACTTTCCCTGAAGTCGCCGTTTCGTGCGCGAAAACGACTGCAGCGGTTTCTGAGCCTTCACCAGAAGAGATAGCAATATTGTAAATATGCATGTTTTTCGATTTGTGTCATTTGACGTCAGCTTTGCAAGAAAGTGTGCATTCCATATTTGGAACGTGCCGTTTTTAGCCTTTAAAATTCCGGTTTCTGGTGTTAGGTCACACACGGACATTTAGGAAGATGGGGAGAGTTAAGAATGTCGGATGTGCAACGTCGAGCATGATAGTTGTTTGTTTAGTTTTATGCAGATACATGAAAATCGCGAAATGACGGGAACTAAAAATCAATATTATTCTGTTTTGGCACAAAACACTTGTGAGCCGAAAATAGGATTGTTATATTAATAACAATAATTTTATTTGCACATACTGGAAGAAGCCCATGCAGTGGCTTAACGAGATATGACGGCGCCCATGGCAAATGAACTTTCGCGCCCCCCAAGATGGCAGCGCGTAGCCCCGCGCCACTTTTTCCATCGGGCACATGTTGGGTGGACTCGGCTCGGTGCCCCCTCCCAAGTGGCGCCCGGGGCACTTGTAGCCCCCTCCCTCCCCTAGTTATGCCACCGGGCCCATGTGGTGGTATGCGGGGCTAGGCAGATAGGTAAAAACCCTTACGCAGAGCGTCTACCAGCCCGCCACCACATGTGAAAAAAAGAAAACCGATATATAAATGTACAGAATATACACACTACAGAAAGTACGAAAAAAGGAAAGAGAAGAAGGGAGAAAACATGTATCACATTATGACGAGGATTCCATACATTCTGGCAAGCTCTCGTGACTCTGCCCCGTTTGACGGCAGTGGGCTGCGAGCACTGAGCGTAATTGTCAGTTGTCAGTCAATGTTTCAACTACGTTGTTTCATCAATGGAAAGGTCAAATGAAAATCACGTTATCCAGAATGCACCGCATCATTTGTCTCTTGCGCAGTGGATTGCGTAAATTACTGGTCGATCTTCTGTTCTTGAGGCAGAAAATACTCGCAAAAGCTCACAAACGCACAGTTACCGTGTCGCCTACTCCACACCTCGCCATAGCCGCTGGTTGTTCTAAACTGTACGATGGTAACCGCGCGACCGCGCGGCGTCCACTTGCGATCCATGGCCCCGTCGCGTTCGTACGCGTGCGCAGACATTTGCTGAATTTTCGCCGAATATTTGCCGAACTTTCCTTCTAAATTTCGGCATGTGCAGAGCTTTACCGAATCTGAAGTTCGGCTGATTCGGTCCATCACTAACTTTTACGGCGCTGGTGATAGACCCACTAGAAACGACGCTCACGCCGGACTGGCTGCTCGGCAACGCGCGGAAACTTAAATTTCGGATTCGGACGGCGCGTGTATCACCCAAACCGCATTCATCTTCTTCCCCTCTCGCCTGCGTTCACGCCGCTTCGCGGCGACAGTGTGCGGCTACTAATTACAAAACTATTAACCCACTTGGCACCCCCCCCCCCCCCTTCTACCCCCGTACAAGCCCGGTCTGCTACGTATGAGGCCGACATCTTACAACTAAGTTACGCTACCGCTTCGGAAACTCGCATTGTAACCACTGCCTATGTTGACGGCGACAGCGCCTATCTCCACGAACCAGCCAATCCGGCGTGAGCGCCGTTGCTAGAGTTTGTATCGTTTGCGCGTTAAAAATATGCCGCCCCGGGTCGGGGGGCGGTGCCCTCGGCATTCCTTGGGCGCCGCCGGCCAGTGTTTGCCCTGCCCAGTGGCGGCTGTTTCAGGGGGGGGGGGGGGGGGGGGGGGGGGGACAAAACACATGCCTTGCCCCCCACTCTGAGAGCTGAAGGGGCAAGCGCTCCCCTTGCCCCCCAGTTGGTACGCCCATGGAAGGGGGGGGGGGGGGGTGGCGGGAAATATGATGCACATAGATGACAAGTGCTTATCAGAAAAAATCCATGTTTCATTTGTACAAGCAGAAGCATGTGCTGCTATTGTTAACAAAATGAATTTTTCTTACCTTGTGTGTGCTGTATACAGGCCACCCAGTTCAAAATCAAGGTAGCACATACGGGACGCTGATGCGTGCGATGGGGCGGGGCTTTGTGTCACCCGGCGATATGTGGTTATTGCGCCCGCAACACTATCGACACACGACGAGTTGAACTCCTTCTGTAGACGTTTCTTCGGAGGTCAGAAAGGATAGTCTGTTTCTCCATTTTTCTATACTTTTCCGACGAGCAAACGGTCATTGCTCTAGACAAGAGAGGAGAGACCACTGACACCTTGTGATTCACTGCCCTTGATTTGCTCGAACCACCACCTTGATTTTGACTCGTACCACCCAGTGATTCACAAGGTGTCAGTGGTCTCTACTTTCTTGTCCAGAGCAATGACCATCTGCTCGTCCGAAAAGGATAGAAGAAAGGAGAAACAGACCATCCTTGCTGACCTCCAAAGAAATGGCTACACAAGGAGTTTTGTTCAACGCGTCACCCGTCTACAGTGTTGCACGTGCAATAACCATGGATCGCCGGGCGACACACAGCCCCGCCCCATTGCGCGCATCAGCGTCCTGTATGTAAAAAGGACGAGCGAGACACTGGCGCACGTGCTCCGAAAAGAAGGGATTCAAGTGGCGTACAAGCCCGTGTTAACATTAGGACGGCTGATGCCAAGGCCAAAGAATCATCTCTCAGAAGAGAAAGCACAAGGCGTGATCTCTAAGATACCGTGTGCAGAGTGCCCCGCCGTTAACATCGGCGAAACTAAATCTTTTCGCGAACGCATGCGCCAGCACCAGAACGATCTGCGCAATTTCGATCGCGAGCGTAGTGCTGCCGCGGAACATTGTGAGGTATTTGATTATCGGATCGACTTCGGGAGCGCGCACGTCACAGACACGGAGCCGCATATCCAAAAATGTCTGTTCTTGGAATCGTGGCATATTGTGAACACACCGGGGAACATTAACAGGTCCCTCGGGGTTTTACCATCTATATACGTTCAGGGCCTGCATAACGTTAACAAAACATCAACTCGGTAGAAGCGGAAGAAGATGTGGAAGCTCTCGCTGTCCCGCTCCATTTAAGCACCCGTGAAGGAGGAGTCAAGTCGAACCCGAAACGTTGGGAACTGTTTGTTCCTAAACTTTTGGTTTGAAATTTAGTTTTCTTCAGGTTGCGCATTTTATTTTAAGTGTGTGCTTGCCATATAACATGCGTTTAACGTTCAATATACCGCCCAGACGTATGACTCAATCAACGTTACTAAAACACTCAGTTGGGAAACTCACATAGAGACAGCTTTGAAAAAGTGGCCCCAATCTGTCTCCGAGCACCGAGCTAATGACGAACACTACGCCACCATTTCTCCCGCAGCGGCCACTCGAGAAACTGCACGTGACTTCTATTTCGGCCTTAAGAACAGATACAGCGGAGGTTACAGGGATGCCGACCCCGGCGGACGCGCCGCGCCGAACTAAAGAAGTTAAAATGCACCTAGGTCGGGACGCGCTACCTGAAAGGACCGCTGAGGCATGGTTGTATAAACACAATACTAATTGTTCCGCAAAACCTTGCAAACTAAAGATTATAAAAACATCACGCGCCCTTAATTTTGTACTAAACTCCAATAAATTTCATACAAAAAGAGTCTTTTCCGTTTGTTTTTACGCAAAAACAGGCTTTCAAAAAGCTCGAGGTGACCACAGTACAGACAAACGATAAAGAGTGGCGCTGTTGTCGCATTTAGCTCGGTCTAGGTGGACGACAGCGGCTCAGGTTTCGACGGCGAGTTTCCCAACTGAGTGTTTTAGTAACGTTGGACTCAATAAACAAAAACTGGCAATATGTGAATATCATCTTAAACCGACCATTTATTACTGAAAAAAGGCAATCTTGGCAAGAAAGTAATTAAAAAATGAAAAATTCGTGTCTGCATTCTTCCTATGAAATATAATTTTAGTCCATATGCACTTTAGTAGTGTTCAAACTACATCATGCATGTAAGATGTTTAGTCATATCAAATGAGCAGAGGTGCGTGGATTAAACCGCAGCCATTATACCTGAATTTATCGGAGAGAACGCTTGCTTCCCATGTTGCGGTGCGCAAAAGCACAACAACAACAAAAAAAGCCCGGCAGGCATTTTTTTAACGATGTTTATGTCTTTAGCATTCATTGATGAAATATTGTAAGTTAGATAAATAAAACTTAGACGTCTTGTTATATAAAAAAGTAATTTCAATACCCTATATCTCATATGATCGTAAATTTTAAAAAAGAGCCATTTTTAAGCATTTTATTTGTAGATACATTCACAATAAAGCACCTTACTTATTTTCAACAAATTAATTCACACTGTGGGTGAGAGGTGTTCGACAGTTCAATTACACGCCATAATATTATAGAAGAGTAGGGTTATGAAACTGAATACAGTCATATTTTGGTTATTTGACTTTGTTCATGCCTCATTGAATATTAATAGGGCTCTTCAATAATGAAACTTGAAAACCGATTATTCTAAAGTGTGTACTTTATTTGGCTAATAATCGATGTATTTATTTATTCTCCAGGATTGTATGTCTCTTAAAACATTGGTAATTATATAATTATTGACTATATATTAGAAATTACTCGACATTTGTGTGACTTTCCTCTGGGAATAGAAGTGCTGGTTTGATTGCAACATCTTAGGTGCGCAAATTAGAATCAAAAATAAATTTAATGGACTTTTTTTATTTTTAGATCTGCAGCATTTCATGAGTTGACGGCCGAAAAAAAGAAGAAAGAATAAAGAAATGTGGACACCTTTTTACTTATTCCAGATCCCTACTTATAAAAGAAAGATGTGTGGTGTTTAGCAATGAATACTTAATTGCCTGAAATCTAAGTAGACATTAAAGCAACTCTTTTTCCGCGATGTCTTACACTTTTGGGGGGCGAGGAAAGAAAAGGGGGTACAAAGTTAAGAACCCTAAACATTTCAAGCCAATAAAAAAAGTGCATTTTTTATTATTTTTGGTCAGGTAAGCCAGTGATTACTTTTTTATGTGTTTAGTTGCGGCGTCAATATTGAGTCTTACAAAGTACTTTGTGGGCTCCCTTTTCACAGATTAATATGTTAGCAAGATAACCGGCAATTAATAATTATTTGATTAATCGGTGGTTTAATTGGCTAATTTCCAACATCCATTGAGCACTAATGTCAAACATTTTTCGTACGCCCTAAACATTTAGGACCATCATGGACTCTCTAGACGACATCTTGGTGCATCTGGGCTCGTGGCACTACCCAATCATCGCCTTCTGCTTCCTTCGAGGATTTCCCGCAGCCTACCATGCGATGGCTCCCACGTTTATTGCGCCCACCTTGGATCACTGGTGCGCAAGACCACCGGAACTCGCCAACTGGACAGCCGAACAATGGATCAGTGATGGCATTCCTCAAACTCACACGGGTAAGCGAGGGACGCTTTGGGTTACCGTAATAGCTTTAACTTGCTTGGGAAAGGAGAGAGGGCGAGATTTTATAACGTTGAGTCTGCAACATCAATGGCTGGAGAAATAGCGATCAATAAAATGATAAAAGTAACGTTCATGCTGTTAAAGTCATAAGAAAGTGCGCAAGCGAAAACAGTATGTTCGGTATTGCTTGCTCGTGACTGAAAGCACTGTTAATTATATTTTTTATCAATTAATTTTGTTTACGTACTAGAAAAAGTTGCCTTTTCCGTTTTATGCCCAAGAATCGAGAACTATTTGAAATGTAAATTATAGGTGAAAATAATATTAATTAATTGTTATATCTACATAATTATTGTTCAATGTTCACACATTCTTGTTACCTTCTTTAACCTGATCGCTTAAGATTCACCAAACGGAAACGCTTCTTCCTTGAAGGAGCTGTGCAACGATTTTAACGTTGAAAGAATTGGCATCTTCTGCTTTTGATATTGTTCACCTTGTCACAAATGACAAAAACACACCTCCTTCCATCGAAATGTTGCGATGCCGCCGCGTAATAGCGAGGCGAATTTTAGAATATTCACCGACCTGCAGCCGCGAGCGGCGGCCATGAGAAACACGAGGCGTGACTTCAAAGGGGAATCTTGTAGAAAGATAGCAAGTTGTGCGAATACCTGCTCGATAAAAGGTAACTTTTCTACAAATCTTGTCGTTCCAACATATATACAAATGCGACTAAAACCTGGTATCATCGACCAAACTTTTATTATACGGAGTTTTAGTGGCGCCATCTATCCTAGGTCCACAAAACCGTCAGCTCTCTCTGCTACCGCGAAACGAACAGCCACCAGAAGCCATAGGGGGAAGGGGGACAGGGCCGGACGGGCTATGGCCGGACCCGAATGAGACTTTCCTCCTTTCATCATATTGTTCGCGCGGCACCCGCCAGCACGTGGTCACGCAGTCGCGAGCGGACGAGTTCTAGCTGCTCACTGATAGCTCTAAAGAGAGAACTTTCCCGGAACCCCGCGCCTACCCCCTCAACGTCACTGCGCACGTGACCCGGAATACGACGTACGAATCCAGAGGCAGCAAAAACCTGGATCTTTTTCATTTTTGTATATAAAAGCTAGGCTATCCAGGCAAAATCTGTTTTCTCTACTTCACTTCAGAAGTGTCAGGCATCGACCTTCCACAATAATTTAAACAAAGCCCTGAAATTGTTGCACAGGTCCTTTAAGCAGTGAGGTTTCTTTTTTCGTATAGTAACAAAAGCATGGCAAAGGCATGACCCTAACACCCCCCCTCCCCTCAATACTACCCCACTAGAATCTATGAAGTTCAAATTGTGATTTCTGTCTACTGCGTGAACAATGATTTCTATATATCACATAAACCGTTAGCAACGACGTAATAGTTGCTCCAAAAATAGAACTAATACATTTGCGACAGCTACCCATTCTAATACGTTCGTAACTCATGTTAAAATGTTTCATCGAACCACGCTCCAAATAAAAAAGTTTATGTTGGTGGCTTACAAAACCATATAAATAATTATATTAACCATGCCATAATATAAAACATAGTTTTATAAATGACTGGCTTCCTACTTCCCTCGATGTAGAAGTCAACTCTGATGTTTACAGTTTCAAACGAACATATATGTTTGTTATACATTCTTGACCAAAATGTAGCCAGCGCGTAGTATTCAGAGCCTGTAGTACGCAATGAATCATTGTTCAAACCAGCCTAGCATTTTCAATAAAGACCCAGGCAATTGCAGTCCCTTAGAACATTACGTTCTTTTATCAAGAAAAGTAGAAATTTATAATTATATTAATGATGCCCATAGGACAGAACGTAAAAAAGAACGTTTGGAGCGCGGTGGAATACAAACTATACGCGAATCAACGTTGAATTACTGCTTATTCATATTCTATGACTGTCATATAAAATATTTTCGGGGTACATTGCGATGTTTGTTGATGTTCAGTTAAAATTCTAATTTCAGTGTATCCTCCGAGGCGTTGATGTCCAAGAAAGTTAGGGATGATTTGTTAAAATGAGCATATACTCGCTTAGACATCCTCTTGAGCCTCCGCTGTGAGCCATTTTTTGTAATCTAATCTAGCAGCGTTTGTTTTGTACAGACATGAAAGGTGGCGTCGCTGTCCCGCTTTGTGTTAAAAAATGGCGTCGTTTGTACCAGAAACATTATGTCGGTGGAACAACACGTGGGCACTGCCCATTTATGAGGTAGTAGCGCTATCGTTCATGCCAGTTGAATTAAATTTTAAGTGTTCTTAGCAAGATCATGCACGAACGATGTAACCAGAGTTCTTTAAAGTAACTATGAAAATTTTGGTGCACATTTTGATACTGATCTTGGTAGCCTTCATTGAAATTTAACGCCAGCTGTAATTGGTGTTAGAAGGCAATTTCAGAATTTCAGTACGACTACTAATATCTGCTGCTTAATCTTTGGTAACAATTGTGGAAAGCTAGTTTTTCTGGGTTGCAGATGAGATAAAGTCTACTTACGTGTTTTCTGTGCTTCTAAATACGGAACTGCTTCAATTTCCATTTAACATACGCAAAAATAGCGCGAGTACGTGCTTCATGCTTTCTGTCCTAAAAGATCGTGGTTTTGAATGAAACGACCTATGCGTGCTATTATTGCCTTTGCTTATATCATATACCAAGCTCAATAAATTTCAACTAGATATGTACACAAAACAAGTTTAGCATCTCTAGTTTACTTCCAGGAAAAAACAAGTTTCAACCACGGCGCTGTGAAATGTTTGAATTTGAATACGAAAACAACTTAAGTATCAGCAATATGACACGGGTGAGTTGTTCACACTGGGAGTACGACCTCGGAGAAAACGCAAACACCCTTACGAATCAGGTAAGCTTATACTTTATTTTGTCATAATCCTGCAAATGTACATTAGGTAAATATTGAATGATTTGCGCAATAGCTATATTATTATAGCCTGGCTGAAGGCGCGTGCTGGAGGTGGAGATAGTTCTGCTTTCTTATCGAGTTATCTGTAGGATAAAAAAAACTCGGGAAGGTTCACAGTTGTCTCACCTGCAGGGCGAGCTTCGAACCTTCGACAACCTTTCGGCATTTAGGGAGTTTCAAGACTATATGCGCAGCCAAAGGACGCCAAAAAGGCAATTCGCTATTTCTGTAGACGAAGTTTGTAATCATTTTATTAGTTTATGTGCGAATAAGAACGGAAGGGAGGTCCTTCAGTTACTTCGCCTCTCGCGCGAACTTTCACCCTTGATAACTCTTCGACGTCTGGATTCAAGCATGCATACGTAGGGAAAGCGTGACAAATGGCAGCGAGGTCGTGCTGGAAGCTGGGTATCCGAAAGGACTGCTTTTTTTCCTGCTGTTCTACCTGCGATAAACTGTCATGAACAAATGAGATCGAATATAGCATCCTTCCTTATTACTTAGACCACCCAAAATAAATGTGGCGATATGGAAAAACTGAAGTAGTTTTGCAATAAATGTTGGAAAGGATGAATATATGTTAACTTAGCTCTTGCGAAGAGTCTGAGCAAAGGAAAAGAAAAGTACTTTGGAACATAACGACTAGTGGATATTTTGACTCGTTACAAAAGTAATCACTGGGAGTAATGTATTATCTGAAGACTGAGTGACTCGACTTCTAATAATAATCAATTGTAGGTCTTAAATAACGAGCACTCAGCTGTCTTTGTTGTACGTTTAATCTCAACTGTCATGTTATTAGTTTTAAATTCCCATTGCAGTTTAATTTGCACTATTTATTTTTATACAAGCAAGCAGTTTGAGGTTCATTAAAGTCCAAATCTGGCAAACGAAATGGCGCTCTGGTTTACTGCCCTTTTTTGTGTTGTGCTACTTCTTATCTTTTTTTCTGTTTTTGCTTTTTTAGTTTTTTTAGGTGCTTAGGGTGTAAAGTATTAAATGGAGAGACTCACAAATAGAGTATTTTAATACCTTCGCGTTGGGAGTTGTAAGAATAAGCATTGAACCACGATTATAAAATTATTATAATGTACCACGAAATGCTTGATCGACACAATAATCAGCGCCAAGTTTACAAATTACTTGAGTGCAGATTACACGTTTAAACAAATGTTTTATTATCGACTATTTCACAGTTTGACTTGGTATGTGATCGGGCTTGGCTAAGAGCTGCCTCCCAAAGCATCTACATGGTCGGGGTAATGGTTGGAAACATATTATTTTCCCACCTTTCTGACTGGTAAGTCTATTAATCTCTCCGGTGACGGCATCTAACGTGTTGCGGTTCATTTATACATATTTCGGTAAGTAGCACAGGAGGGCCAAATTGGCTTAATTGATGCAGCTGTCATAAGAATTTCCTTATCGTGCTATCACATCACTACTCGTAACAAAACGGGAGAAATCACCAACAAAGATAGGCTCGAATAAAATCCAGCAGCTTATGGTTCGTGGAAATTACTAAGTACCAGTAAGTGCGACCCCTAAAAAGGACGACAATTTATTGCATTCAAATACATGGAGGCCGCTATGAAGCTAAATAGTCTTGAAATATACATCTCCCCTCCTAAAAAGAATTATAGTATATATGTGCGTAAAAATCTGGATTTTCTGCTCATTGACAAAGGTCAATGAGCAGAAAGGGTGCTGAAGTGGAAAAAGATAATAGGATACGAAATTCGGGAGAACCAGTATTAATAACAGATTTAAAAGGATTAGAATGAGTGAATGCTTCACATTCTGAAAATAAATAAAGCTATATATTTTCTTACGAAAAAACATCAAAGGGAGTAAAGAAGCCACACGTTGAATTTGGCCGTCGTGGCAATGCCGTGATATAAGGAACAGGTGTGAAGACACGATTGACATGCAAACATCTGCCTGGTCCTGGTATCAAACAAGGGACATCTCCACTTCCTGTGGAGTGCTGTACTAACTGAGCTAACCAGGTTAGACCTCACTAAAGCAAACGGGTTTTAACAGCTGCCACCAGTCTAACGCCAACAAGGGTAAACGGCGTGCATTATAAAGGGGGGGGGGGGGTGCAACGTTTTTTAGATTAAAAGAATTTGCATCTCGTCATTTTTACGTTGTTTATCGTTTCCCCGAGGATTGAGAAAACATCTCCTTCATTAAAAAAATGTCGCGATTCCACTGCATATTCGCAAAGCAGAAGTCGAGCTTTTTTCCCCCACCTGCAGCCGCGATTGGCAGCCGAAGGAACAACGGCGAGAAGATTACGTGACCTCGCTCGGCTCTAAGCTGCAGCACAACGCCCGCTAATGTCAGCGGAGAGAGGCAGAGGAAGCACCCTACGAGAGAGCACACGGAAAACTACACGGCACCCCGAATTAAGTCACTAGGAAGGGGAACAAGTGTGACCCTGAAGACTGGGAGTGAGTTGAGGGGTGACAAAAATGCCAATACTTACCTTTATTTTACACAACTAGGACACGCGGGCGAAGTCGGTTTTTTGTGCTTTACTTTAAAAGTGTCAGAAGGCAACTTCCACAAACATTTGACCGAAGTCCGGAAACTGTTGCACCCCTTCCTCCCGTTTCAGGGTATCATCATCATAATAATGCAATTATTGCAAAGTTGGAAGGTTGGTAGTCAATAATAACGATAATAATTCGCGGAGAATGGCAACAAAGGAGACAAGAAACGAACAAAAATCCCCAAACACAGCTAGGTACTGAAATTGGAGAGGTACCTGCTTCGATACCAGAAGAAGGCGTCCTTTTTTCAGTCGCGCACCAGACACCTAGCTGTGTTTGGAGATTTGAATTTGCCCGTTGGCCCCCTTGTTCCCCTTTTCCAGGGACTATTTTGTTCATTCTTGTACAGCTCGCTTGCCCCTTTGCAATAATTGCATTCTCATCATAACCTTAAAATGCTGACTGTTCATCCTTGTTGGTGTTAGACTAATGACAGCTTTTAAAACCCGTTTTCTCAACTGACGTCTAACCTGGTTAGCTCTGTTGGTAGAGTGCTCCACTGGAAATTGAGAGGTCCCTGGTTCGATGCCGGGACTAAATAACTTTTTTCAGTCGCAGAGCAGTCACCTGGCTTTTTATAGAGATTTTTGTTTATCTTTTGCCCCCTTGTTTCCCTTCTCCAGGGATTATTATCTTTCTTTTTGTCCAGCTCGCTTGCACTTTTGCATTAATTGCAATATTATCAGTCTTACAGTGTTTGCCCAGTAAACGTGTAAGGCAAAATGAAGGGGCTTCGGTATCCTGTAGGGATATACTAAGTGCTAGAGTTTCTTTTCAGGGGACTGAGTCCCGCAGAGAGGGTCTTAGGTGGTTGATACAATTAAAAATATTTGCTTAATAACCACGTTTAAGTTAGTGCAGTCTTTTTTTACGAAATATGTGAAATAAACTTACCGCATCTTATAAGTTCCAAGACGCTATTACGACTGTGAAAACAAATCGATTTAGCTTTCAATCAAGATGTGAATAGCTGCGTAAAACATATTATGGCTGATTAAATTCATTTTTATTCTTGTCATTGAAATGAATCAACTTGTAATTAAATGAAACTAATTAAGCGAGTGAGACTGTAGTTTTCAGAGAATAAAACAGCATTTCAAAAATATTTTTTGCTGTTTTTTGGATGTTTCAGAAATAAGAAGGCAAGTAACATTTCATGCACGGGAATTCTCGCCTTAAGAATACGTGTTCAATCTCTAGATTATCTAAATACCCGCTTTAAAAATTTTGGCGTCAAAGAATTTCTTTAGGCCACAATGTTTTTTTAAGTTTTTGCCAGTCATGTTCAGGGCAGAAAACAGCTTCAGATTTAGTTACATCGGGGGAGCGTAGCCGACACCTGGACCCGTAATACACTTGACAACAAGTGTAATCATTATCCGGGGTTTGTTGCAGGTACGGCCGAAAGCGAGCCCTTGCCTTCATGGTGCCTTTCCCTCTGATATCCGGTATATTAACAGCATTCTCGCCGAGCTTTATGCTGTACAATATCGGACGATTTGTGGCTTCAATCGGAATTGGAGGAATACAAAATACTACGTTCACATTAGGTACGTTTTTAACAACCATGTCAATAAATAATTAACTGCGACATTTAGCTTCAAAGTCATATCAGGCACAAAATGCATTCTAGGGATTTGGTGAGAAAATTGGCGAGGAAAATGTGTGTTACGTAACCTCTATTTTCTCGTTAAATTTAGCGGGGAAACTGAATGTTTGTATTGGTAACGTGACGTTCGATTCCCCCCCCCTCCCCCCTCCCTGTATTTAGGGGGGAACTGCATTAGTGCGTAGGTCACAAGACGTCAATTCGCCCGCTAAATTTAGCGGGTAAGGGAAATGGTGTAGAGGTCACGGGACGTAATTTTTTTAGCTTAATTTAGCGGGGAAATTCTCTTAATAATTTGGTCACAAAACGTGAGTTGTCCCCTTAAATTTAGCGGGGAAACTGAGTGGACAAGTAGGTCACGTGCCATAATTTTTCCCAAATTGTATAGGTCACGTCACGTCAAGTGATGTCACGGGACGCCACTCTCCTCGCTAAATTTAGCGGCAAACGCACGTACAGATGGACGGGCGGACAGACTGACAAAATTTTGAGTTGGGGGTAGCGTTAAAAAGCATTTCATGCTTCAGAAGATGACAGCACGCGTAATTTTCCGCAGACATCATGGTGGGCTCTTTCAGGAAATAACAAAAATGAAAAGAGGATTTGTCCCGAAGTTTTCATTTGCGTAGGAACAACGGTTTTCAAGTTTTGCTTGCTCCTCGTCGCGGTGAAGATAATTTTCGGAATCACAGAATATACTTATCATTATTAAAAGTATGCGCGATGGCATTTTTCGAGTGCATGAGCCGCTATAAAAACGAATATGCTCAATCATTCCTGAAGCCTGAAGACCTCATAAACAAAAGAAGCACGTTGACCTTACGCGAGAAAGGCATTTGTTGAAACGTTGGCATACTTCTTTCAGTTAGAAACTGCTAGGTTGACGAACCCAAGGAAGGGCATATGTCCACGCTTTTTGCCTCGTAACCTGTTCGGTGCTTTTATCGGCTCATGGCGCAATACAATTTTACTGAGGAGCGATAATGTTTTTTTATGAGTATGTCGACAGGTTAAATATGTCACAGACTGCTTTATTTTGTGTTCCTTAGTCATGGAATCTTTATCCGCCCGGCATCGTGCATTGGGATCACTCGTCTCCAACAGCGGCTGGACGACAGGCCTTCTAACCTTGACGGGAATTGCATGGTTCATCCGGGACTGGTCGCAGCTGCAGCTCGCAATTTCTCTTTGTTTACTAATTCTGGTTGGCATGTGGTTGTGAGTAGAAATGCTTAATACTTTCCGTTCTCGTGTTTATTTGTCTTGATCATATTCCATGTCACGACGCCTCCCGCAGTAGCGGTGTCGACCATTCACGTGACCGCAGCGTTAATCCTCTACGCCACCAGAAAAACCTGCATGTATACTTTCTCGCAACGAACCTAATACACGAATTGGTTTGCTTATTGCTATCAACCTATCCAGTAAATAGGGTGGGCGATATGGCAAACTGAATGTCGGTCACGGTCTTTAGCCAACGGTGTTCATCGCTTTTGAGGTTGAACAGGTGTCTAAACCATGAGCGCAGCCCCTCATGAACAAACAAAAAATACATGATTATTTTTGGTTTTTTAGATAACTTTATTCTATGTGTTGACATTTCTCAAAGTGTTTACAAAAATTCGGTCATTTGGTAGGAAAAGTTGTTTTAAAGACACCTAAAATAAATTGTATTCAACGGCGCGTTAATTCATTTTTCAATATGTTTATTTCATTTCGAATGGTGAGATAAATATAAAGTCTACCAAACAGTTTAAAATGTTGTCTATCCTCTGATCCTGCGTGATTATCTCTTCCAGACATGGCGACTCGCACAATATATTTCCGAAACAAGAAAAATTGCTTGCGTAGTGTAACCCCTCCATCTTGATATAAAATAAGGGCTAGTAGTCATTTACGACATCAAAATAAATTTGCAAAGATTACCAACCTATCCGTTACTTAGTTTTATCAAACATTAGAACGCAATCATAAATTATGATACACACAATGTTTTTCTTAATGTACACAGAGAACGCGTTTGCAAGATAACGGTGCGTTATAGGCGCTTTACTCTAGATTAACCAACATTATCAGAAAAACTAAAAAATATTAAAGTATTGCTGTTGCGTTCTCTGCGCTGTTTGATAGAACCCACAATTTCGTAGAGTCATGGGCGCTCTCACTAATACAGTTTTACATAATTTCTCGTACCTACAATGAAATCAACTACATCTCTCGTTCAAAAATTTCCAGCTGCGTTCTCATGCGCGCCATATTATTGGATTGAGACAGGCTTGGACAATTACTTGGTCGTTCCCAACGGATTTGCTTCTTTCGCATTTAGGAAACCATGGACACTAACGTCATTTTATTTTTCTTATCGCAACCACTGGACTATCGTGCGAGTCGGGAAAAACACCTTGCGGCTGAATATTGACCGGCTGTAGATACCGGCTGAATAGGAGCAGCGGGGTGTTCCGCTTTATCGTAAATTATTTTTACGAAAAGGGAGTGAATTTTGTCAATGAGCTGAGGGAAATGCCGTCTGGAAAACCAGGGGTGTTTAAATTTGCCCAAAAGTTTTTAATGGTTATTTTTAGGTTAGTACAGTTGTTCCATTTCATAGATTGTTTTAAGGGAACAAAGCCCAGCATAGTTCACTTGCTCTTCCCACACTTCAACCTAACGTACAACAAGACGTTTGACCACGCTCTAGCCAAAGAGGGCTAGAGATTTCAGTGAGATTTACATGTTAAAATTTCAGTATGCTTCCCGAATCGCCACGTTGGTTGTTGGCCATTGGAAGTTACGACAGAGCGGCAGTCACTTTGAGGAAAGCCGCCAAAAAGAACAAGGTAGCAGGAGTGGATGTCGATTCTATCATCGCGATCTACAAAGAAAAAATGAAACTGGTAAGTTGTAGCTCAGTTACATGTTATCCAATACTCGACCGGAGATCAGATGAGCATTTTATGAAGGTTTAAGTATTTATACTGGCCACAAACGTCATCAATAAACAATGAAGCAACTTTAATGATTTTATTATTTTTATTTTACAATTATCAGCATATTAAGAGGATTTTAGCGGGCTGTGAACGTGAAATATTTTGCTTAAATTTGATGCAGTCGTAAAGATCGGAGACCCTTAGGGGTGTAACCACGTCATGAAGAACAGAAAGGATCCTCCTCACAATAAAGTGGCGGGCTTCAAAGCAAAACTAATAAAAAGAAACATAAAACCAGATTATATAGGTTTTTACATTTTTGCACAATGTGCATTTTGTAAATTTGTGTTTATTTATTTTCGTTTCAAAACAAAGTTCCCGTTTTAGTAGGAGTCATATCCATATTTATCCTTCAATAAGACTCATAATTTGTACGTCGAACTACTCCTTAGGAACGCATGTCAAGAAAGCCTACATTCGCTGCATTGTTCCAGTACAGCTGCCTACGGAGGGTGACCATCATCAAGTCAAGTATGGCGTATGTTGTATTTTATACTGCAACTTTAAAGGGCCCGTCATGGACTATTTTTTCCCCGCCGGATTATAAGCTATAACAATGTTTCTCAACGTCATTAAGAAAATTCTCTGAATTAATAATTCAGGCGATGAATCCTGGGGTTGATGGAGCTTCATCGCCATCAATATATTATTTCAACCAATTCCGTCAAGTTTGGTTCAGGAACGAAGTGCATTGGATAAATAATAAATAAGGATTCTTTTAGAAACTGGAGTGGTCGGGGAGACAGATGTGGTAAGATCGCAAGTTTTAAATATTATTTCTAAAAACAAGACGCACATTCCACACTCTGTCAAGCGTGTTCTTCTGTTGATCTATCAATGAATTCATCACTGCACAAATTCAACATATCTACCCAACTGGACGTATGCACGCTTAAACGTTTCCACTTAAGGCGGGGTCACACTCCTTATACATCATACAAAATGCAGTCTACAAACACAAGTCACCGCAATATCCCTTGTTCGAATGTCGCGTGGCAAGTTTCCTCCTGAAACTCATTTCCATGTGTCATTCGAAGCACGGATCTCAGCGTATAATGTATTAACAGAGTGACCCTGGCTTTAAAGTACTAATATATGCCTCAGTTTTATTAAAATAAGTCGTGCGTTTGATGCTTCACAGCAGCATAAATATGTTGATTGCACAAAGGGTGTGGTCTAAGAACCCCCATTGGCGTGCGGTAAGGCATACACCGGACAAACCGGGCCGGGCAATGCGTCATCCAAAGAACAAGAGAGCACGACTTGTCTTTGCGTTCTATGGTGGGAGGTCATTTGCCTTTGTACTGTGCTGTTTTTGATATAGAGTTATTACAATAAACGCTGGAGGCTCAGCTGACGCTAGTGTGCTGTTGCATTTTGAAGCAGGCTGCAGAGTCAGAAATCGACTTCCGTTAATGCATTTCTATAAGAAAAAGCGAATGCATTTTCTCTCTGCGCTCGATTATAAAAGCAAATATCACGAATAATTTGTACGCACTAGGCACATTGGAACATTTCTCAGTCACGCAGACGTAATAATTCGTCAGTTACAGCATTATTATTTAAAATTCGTGGCATGAAAAACGGAGTTAAATCCGCTTCGTAAGTGTATTTATGTGCGCTGTCGGACTCTGTTAGCGCGAACACAGCGTCGACGCTTTCCAGCATGGGGGATATACGTGCCAAACGAACGAAGGACATGTGTAAAACCAAGAGAGACGGCAAGAACTGCGCAGTAACACTGGATAAGTAACTCCTTGTGCACGCAGACGATCAAAATAAATTGAAATTCACGTAATATAGTCAGACTTGCAATAAGTAAGTACTGCTTTATTCTTTATGCTCACGAATATGTGCGAAGATGCTTGTTCTGGGTTCAAATCATCACCCGCATGCTTCAAATCTTTGCAAATAGGTGTAGCAAGAGAGCAGGTGCCCGATAAAAACTGTCCGACATAGGAAATAATAAAAATAGACATTTTTCGTAGCTCACGTACTTCCTTTTTTACGCTCGAACGTTTCTTTAACCGATCGTAAAGATGCACGACGGAGTCATTTTCATCAAATGACAGGACGGGCATATTAGCAATATATAAGCGCCACCGAAATGTCAGCAAACCTTGAACACACTCTACGTTCCTTTCGATCGTTAGTTTGCTTAGAATCGTCGCTCGTTTTCACGTACCTTCCTTGAAACAGAGGTTTGGGCCTGAAATAGAGCGAAGTTTAACATCGTTCAGTGGTAAAGAAAAGTGCTGTAACTAAAGCAATTTTACTTTCACAATACCAATTAAGGTGCATACTATCCGGTACAACCGAAATGATAAAAGTTATTCATGCTATTTTCCGCCGAAGAGACAACATTCACGCGCGTTTTCCCATAGGAATACACAGGGAGGCTGGAAATGTAGACTGCATGCTGTCTGCTTCAATTTGCAACCGGAAGTCCCATAGACACTAGCGCCAGCTGAGCCTCTAGCGTTGATTGTAATAACTCTATGGTTTTTGACGGTCACTCCATCTTCCGGAGTATTCGAGTAATAGGCAGAGTGAGAAATGAATATTAAAGCATTAAATGCTTTTTAACGCTACACCCCAATCCCAAAATTAGTTTGTCTGTCCGTCCGTCCCTGCATTTTCCGCTAAATTTAGGAGGGAAATTGAAATCACAACACCTATTCACGAATTCAGTTTCCCAGCTATATTTAGCGGGAAAATTCTTGTGAGATGGCTTGACGTCGTGACACGCAGGTCAACTCAGTTTCCCCACTAAATTTGGCGGAAAAAATGACTCCACGTGACTTATACACTCATTTAATTTCACTCCTAGATTTTGCGGGAAAGTGGCGTCACGTGTCGTTGTCTGACGTTACGCGACATATTCACCTTGGGGAGATTGATGACACGTGACCTATATGTCAACTCAGTTCCCCTTTTTAAACTCGGAGAGAAAATGTACGTCATGGGGCCAGAAACTTGGAGGACGCTTAAGCTTCCCCTTTAATGGTGGAACCTGATAGTGTTATCGGGCCCCGTTCGCAAAGCCTTCTCGTTGAGGAGTCGTCGTAAACCGCGTTTTCCCTTCCGCTAAGCCTTCCGCAACGAAGAAGCCACTACTGCGCCGGCGCCCCGATGGCCTTGACTGTAGAGTTCCGGGCATTGTAGCGAGTTGCGCACAGCGTTGCGGGACGGCGAAACGATCAGCGAAAACTCCCTATTCAACCCGCGCTCATTCCCGAGCTGTGCAAGCTTGTGCGCGAGGTGTAGTCGGTAGCGTCTCGTGTCACGTGGCGTTACATGCCGTCATGTTTTTTCATTGAAATGTTCCCGCCAAATTTGCCAAAACAGTTTCTGCTAAACTTGGTGCAAACATTTACCGCTAAATTTGACGGGAAAATTTTCCGCTAAATTTGGCAGTAAAATGTTTCGATAAATTTGGCGGCAAACGTTTTTGCTAAATATGACGGGAAAAAATTCCGCTAAATTTGCAAGGGATATTTTCTGCTAAATGTGGCGGTGAATTGTTTCGCTCACTTTTTCGCCAAATTTAGCGGGTTGATAGGGTCATGTCGTCACAGCCACGTGTGACGTCACAGCCTGCTCCGCGCGTTGCATTATGTAATTTTCGGGTCCCACCAACGCCAACACCGACGCCGGATTTTATTCAACACGAGCTTTTCTACGCCATCACGTTAAAATATCAAGTCAGTTTCGCCGTGAAATTTAGCGGTAAACTGAGTTCAGGTGACGCATCTACCAAATCAGTTACTCGCTAAATAGAGTAAAAAATCCTCGTTTTTTAACCTAAACACCCATCCAGTTTCCCTTCTAAATTTAGCGGGGGAAATGCACTTCACGTGACCTACCTATACAACCATTCAGTTTGCACATTCACTAATTCTAAGATATATTTTTTGTGTTCTGACTCTGCATTTTTTTGTTTCTACCATAGGGGAATTTTGATAATCCTTGTTTATTATTAAACTACTTCAAATTACAAGTGTGAATTTAAAAAAAAAAAAATTAACGTTGCCCATTTACTTTTTTTTCAGGATGTTGAATACCCTGCTCTACTATAACCTAACGTATTCCAGCATCTTGTTCGGGTCCAACCCCTACCTTAGTTTCGCTTTGATGGCCGCGATGGAATATCCATCACGCATTGTGTCAGTGCTGTTCATAAACTACGTCAGGCGCCGGGCATCGTACGCACTTTTCTACGGTTTTGCGGCCATCTGCTCTCTCTCCATAATATTTCTACCGAAAGGTAAGAACTAACTGCATCAAAAATTCACCAAGGTCATCTGTTATTTTCCGGGCGCGAAACGCTAAAATTAAGACAAATCGCTCATATCTTAAGAATAGCTGTAGCTAAACCTTGAACTTAATTGAAACATAATCATATTACAGAATGCAAATCGTAATGGTATCTACTTTGTCGATATAAAAAAAAAACTGTTTCATGTGGTTGGGTTGAACAAATATTGAAAATAACTAAGTAAAAAAAAACAAATATTAAAAAAAACAATCAGTATTTAAGGTGAATACACTGATACAATATCCACCTTCCGTCATACACGCATTGTCATTTTTTTTTAATTATGCGGCGCTAATGGATGCATTTTGTTAATAATGCATACAGTTTAGGTAACGGGTCATCTATTTTAGAGCGCACCACTTAGGCGCTCGTTCCCGTGTTTTGCGGCGTCGCCGTCGGCGACGGCCTGACTGAAGGGAGAGGGGACGGTACACAGGAGGAGGGAGGGGAGGGTACGGAGGAAAGGAGGTTACATAGGAGGAGGAATGGAGGGTACGGAGGAAGAAGGGTACGGAAGAGGAGGAAGGGAGGGTACGGTACGGAGGAGGAGGAGGGGACGGTGCGGAGAAGGAGGAGGGGGGAGGATACGGAGGAGGAGGATACGAAGGAGGGGAAGAGGGTATGAAGGAGGGTATGGAGAGGAGCAGGGTAGTAAATGAAGGAAGAGAATGAGAGGGTACGGAGGAGTAAGGTACAGAAGAGAGGGAAAGGGGGGTACGAGGAGAAAGAGTGGAAGGTAAGGGGGAGTAGGAGGACACGGAAAGCAGGAGGGGAACGTACGGAGGAGGAGGGAAGGGTACGTAGGAGGAACCTCCCCTCCTGAGCATGTTCCCCTCCTGGGTGCGACGGAGGAGGGGAGGATACGGAGGAGGAGGACACGGAATAGGAGCAGGGGAGGATCGGGAGGAAGAAAAGGAAAGGGTATGGCGTACCTCCCCTCCTCCTCAAGAGCTGCGTTATGCTTTCACATTACAGAATTTGTAAACGTCTTTCATTTTTTTTAAATTTATAATTAAGCCACCTCCTTGAATAGCTCACATCTTCTTTTATCAATTTATTTTAAGTTTCTTCTAAGTGCACACAATTCAATTTATTCTCATTCTATGCATTTGGAACGCACATACTCGCTTTCAGGATAATGTGTTAGAATTAAATGGCATTTAAAGTGCACCAAGCTGAAAACAGCATGGTCTAAAATTGAAAATTCTCCATGACTGTAACGTAATTATTTTCGAACAAGTAGTAAAATGTAGAGAAATCTCTAATTGCATGTATCATATAAAGAGGAGTCTTCAACTCGAGGTATACTTATAATAAACTTAATACCTCTAGATTGAATCAAGGACAACTAGGAAATTTTAAGGAAATATTAAAACAATTAAGATACTATATATTACAATTATTACCCACTTATCCTATGAATAACTACACCAACACTCTACATGTTGCTCTAAGCAAGCATTGTGAATGACTGGTGAAAACAGATAATTGGCTTTTATCATTCCGAGACATCACATCTCACACAATTAAAACCCAAAAGTATTTCACTGTAAAAGAAGCCAAAAACAGCCTTGTATTTTTTCGATCCTAAATTTCTTTTGAACAACTTACACTTCTCGCAGATCCCTGGTGGCTACCGCTATGCCTGATTCTCTTGACCAAATTAGGGGGAACATCTGCTGCAGGTGTTCAGCACGTTCAGCTCTCAGAACTCTACCCGACCAAGGTTAGGACGCTGGCCACAGGCTTCGCCATCACCGTCAGCAGGTTTGGTGCCATTTTGGCGCCTTTCACGAAAGAATTGGTGAGAAACTTCAGTCGACACTTGATTACGTTGTAGATTTAGCCAGTGCAGTACGACTGTTAGACTATGGTCTTTAACGTTGATCCCGCAGTAGCGATACATGATCGCACGCCGGTACGATTATCATCGAGATCCAAACGGAGAGGGGCGCGTATTTAACCCGAGATCTCTGAGAACTAAAAAGCAAACGACTACCGAGCTATACATTTTATGCTTAGCACGACTGCTTTTTATTAGGACCTGTAATTCTATTCAGGAATCCCCTTTACATTCCTATTGATCAGGAATTGCTTCGGTTTTATGTCAAAGTTACTCTCCGTCGTGGCCGTATATACAGTGTAAGATACATTTTGAAGTAATAACAGATAACCTAAATGCCATGATTCGTGCTCAAACTAGGGAAGCACACAGAAAACGCAGTTAATATTGCAAAAAGCATACGTTGTATTACATCATAAATTAGATAATATGCAGGCATTCATGGTATTGCTTAACTAAAACGATTTCGTTTAAATGATTCTAAAGGCTGTCAACAACCAACGCTCTCACCGTGTCGGAGTTTACTAGGTTCTCGCATGGTGACAAGACTTAGTAGAAGCTGTGTTTTGTATTATAAATCTCTGCTAGCAAATGTAAGTTTCCGAAATGTTAAAATAAGGACATTATCAGTTTCAAATATATGCATAGTATGCACCGAGAAGCTGAAGAAGGGGAGGAGACGAGAACACGCACATGGACGTCAGAATGCCGAGCTCTGGTTGGAAGGATTATTGTATAGACCTGAAGATAGCTGCCTTCGTTTCCACTGCACTCATCGAACGCACTCAAATGCGAATGCCAAACGTCGGATGCCGGCGTTCAGAGTTTTAACGCGTTCAACCAGTGCAGTGAAGACAAAGGCAGCTAGCCTTAAGTCTACCCACTAATCATTCCAATCAGGACTCGACGTTTCGAAGTGCCCGCGCGCTCTCGTCCCCTCCTCCCTCTCAATCTTCCCGGCGCGTGTTTTTTACTTTTTTATTTTATTTTTATAGCTGCAATTAAATGGCGTTCTAATATGCGACAAAATTAATTGACCTTGACTTTGTAGTCGATAAAACAAAAAACTGAGGTTTTATGGGCACGTGCTTTTATTGGAAATTCTGACACATAAAAATAATATGGGTGGATCCTTAGGTCATCGCGATATCAAACTGGTGATTGTCTTCAGGTTACCCTGTCTTGTCACGATGATTAAAGTTCCGTTTCTGTTGCTGGACTCGCTTTGAAAACAGTGTACCTTTGCCCATTGAAGTAAAGATTTGTTCACACTGTTTTGAGATATACGAAATAATGGCACGTATTAAAAGTTTTCGAGACTTCCTTAATTGTATCAGTTTTAAGAGCATCACAAGCTTTGTCCCGTGAAATGCATGGCCATTTTCGCTTAGAAAAAGCCTATTGCGTTTTAGGTAATGTGAATATGAGCTACCCCTCTGCAGATAAAAAGAAAACGGGATGCCTTTACGTAAGGGGGATGTTATTTGGAACACATTTGATAAACATGTTAAAATACAAGTTGTACCAGTTAAATATTAGGGTTTACAAGGCCGCTCGTAAATTTAGTCTACTCTTGAGTTTTCAAGTGGCATTATATATTAATGGCGTAAAAGAGCATTTTTTATACTTAAGCCACTTATGTTAGACTGAAGTGTTAGATCTAATAGCCCAGAATTGTTGCTATATTAATGTTCACTCTTGTAACAGATTACTTCACTTTTTTACGGCTTTGAGGATTTCTGCTGAGTGTTTAGGGAATTTTTTTTTTGATGACGCAGCCTCTTTTACAGCTACAAAAGATCCATATTATCAATAAAAAGTTTAAAATTATGTGACCAAAATGTAGCCATTGCAATGCAGTAGAACAGCAGAGAACATTTATTCAAAAAGTAACCAGCAAACTAAAAAAACTGCGAATTTAATTTGTATTGGTACTTTGCGCGTGTCTCTTCGCCTATCATATTTTATTTTATTTGTTTTCGCTATCATATACAATAACTCTCGTACGACACTTGAGGACCACGACGTTTAGAAAAGATCCTGAAACCAATCTGTATATTTTTCTAAGCAACAAAAATATCCAAACATTTTCATGCAACACTTGAAAACACTGAAGAAAAACAAAGGTTGATAAGTGAAATCAAGCACAGCCTTATTGTTTATTCACAAACTGATCTAATCTTTCTTGTGTTATTTTTGACTTCTCCATCTGTTCTTCGAACATCGGCTTGGAGGGCTTGTTAAGGTTCTGCCAAAATCCTACCAGTATATATCTTGCTGTTCTACTGAGTACGCAACCGCTATCTTTCCAGACCGGGTTAGTGGATGCAGTCCCAAAGCCAAGACGACTGAGTAGTAGGAGTGACGAACCACCTCCTTCCGGGCCTTTATTTTAATGCCTCAAATGATAGTAGCACTTTTTCTCAGTATATAAACGACGGAAAAATGAACGCCTACATGTATATTTTTGCACAGTTTTTTTTTGCTGTTTTTTATGTTTTGTTTTGTTTTTTGCAGGGTGTAGTGTTTGGTCCTTGGGCGCCGAGAGCGGTCGACGGAGGAGTCTGTTTGACTTTAGCGTGCCTTGGCCTCATGCTCCCGGAGACGTTCAAAATGCCCCTTCCCGATAACATTCAAGATATCAAGCAAAGAGGGTTCGAAAACGTTTTTACCAAGTAGTTTGATTTGCTTTATATCTTCTGCGGAATTCCTAATGAAAATTGGTGTCCTCTTCAACTATACGGGGGCTTAAAGTAGATGTGAGCGCAAATGCGGATGTTGCATCAAACCTTTACAAAACAAGCAATATATATAATATGAAGGACTTGATGTGCTTTCCTAAGCGTCAGTCGTTTGGAATATGAAATAATCAAAATTTCCCTTTATTTCGTGTTAACGCCTCGTTTAATTTGCAGTTTTCCCGTTGTCATTAATTTTCAGGCCTCGGTATGTGTAAAAAGAATCCAAACCTTCAGGCTTATCTTTCAATGTAAAGCACTATAAAACTGAGCAAATATATGGACATATGAACTTGACAGCAAACCTTTTGGAGGTATTCATTTATCTCGCTAAGATATTAGAAAAAACACATTACAAAAACAGAGATTGGGCATTGGTTGATTTATGATCACGCTCCAGGTTGCAAAATATGTTACTGTTCATAACCATTATATTCTTTTTTTAGTAAACCACTTCAGCCCGTTATCATTTTAAGAAATAATATTTCAATCAAACCGTATGGAGGGTGTTGGTAGAAACCTAAAGAAAAAACACAGGAAGAATAAACACAAAAAAACAAGAACACAGACGAGTACGCCTCTGCTCTTGTCCTCTCTGTTTATTTTATTGTGTTTTTAAATGTATGAAATTAAAAAAAATTACATCCTGCTCTCAATGAACAGTTAAACATAATCCTAGACGCAATATATGATGACGCTACAAGCAAAGCATCGAAAACAGCTGGTGCAACCCATTTCATGCAAAAGCCTCCTCGGTCCTAAAACAAGAAAATGTAGCCACTATATTATATTTTCATCAACATTAACATGCTGGAAACCATGTAGCAAGCTAATAATATACAGATTTATTTTGAGATAGTATTTTAAACAAACTAACTATTCTACGGGTTAGAACAGTTTTCTTTGATACTTCGGTAGAGCTTTAAACCAATAAAATAAATTAAACGTGATTAATAGCACCAATTGTCTCCAACACAGCTGCTCAATAACTTCAAAACTTTGGTTTTCTTCCACAGTTTAAAGAAAACAAGAACCGGATATCTCATAAAAAAAGGTGCGGTACAGAAGCCATTAAATAATGGTGTATACAACGAAGAACAACGGAGGAAGACGGAATTGTGAAGACATTTATGATGAAAAGAGGGGAAACCATTTTATGGACAAATACAGCTCGGCACTTAGAAACCACGCAATATGTAGAAACCATTATAGAGCCGAATAAATCATTTATATCTTTAATAGCATGTTAATGTTGTCCGTACATGCAGGAACCTCTCTCTGCCAACTTGGCCGGAAATATCGCGGAAGTCGTCGTAAGATGTCATCGGGTGAAAGTCGCCATGGGTGAAAGACGTCACGGATAAAGTGACGGGCATGCCAATCTTTACATACATTGCTGTAATTGTGCACTCGTTTTCAATACAATCGGTTTTGAGGTGTATACGACGGCGTTCAGAAGAAGCAAGGCTGTTACATATTTAAAAAAATGACTTTCTCAAACCTCACAACGAGCTTTCCGAGTTCTCTGGTCCCTGAGCCCTACACTCATAACTTGAGTTTGAAAATTGTAGATGTTGTTAAATATGTTTAATACAAAATAAAAACAAACGAACCTCTGCACTCTATTAAAAATGGGGTCGAGTCAGTTCAGAGTAGATAATAATAAAATCAAGCGAAATAATCACAAACACACAAGGTCACTCTGGGGTGTATGTTGTTATTTTACTTGCCCGTGGTATATTTATTTGTTTCGTCTTCTACAATCAATTACCAGTTAGCTCAAGTATATCCCCTCTACTGTGCTCGAAAACGCTACGTGAGAAAATAACAAAACCCGCTTCACACAGCGGCAAGTCACCCCTTTGCATATTTCACATTTTAAAATGTAAGATTTCAAGATTAAGCTAGGTTTTGTACATCAGCATTAATGATCCTCACGCCGGCGCAGCGCTAGGCAATGTTTTGAACACGCTGCGAATATCATGCAAAACGAATCTGGTGGCAGAAATATGTCATTGACTGGGCAAGATATAGCGATGTTAGGAAAAATGTCAGAGTAATTGTGGAGCAGTAAGCTAGAATGCGTACGCCAGTAAAGTGTCAGTTAGCCATGGCAGTGTTGCCTAGCTTATCATTTGTGAGACCTATAAATGGATCATTACCGCGATCAGAAAGTAAATAATAGGAATTCATTTTGGTATTCACCATGGTGAGGAACTCGTAACTCAGGCGATTAAGCTAATGAAATATTCAGGACTGTTATTCTTAGACGGAACATTTTTTCTTTAGACTAATTATTCTTTGAAATGAATTTTTAATTATTTAAATTGGTTTTGCACACCCTACAAGAAAAACTAATTCTGAAAACACCAATCTTATATAAACCATACGCCATATTCACACGTTCCTTGTTTCCGTGGGTGATTAACAAATGCCAATATCTGAGCATAAAAAAAATATATCTAATGTAATTGGCAGCCCCAAAGTAAAAAATAATAAACATTATATTCATCAACAAGCAGCTTGTCGCAGGTGTACGTCATATTGAAAGTCTATTGCCAAATCGTTCTCGCGACAAGCAAGTAGAAATGATTAATAGGGTAATCTATTTAGCATGCACAAATTCAGTAAACAGAAAGAAAAACGTTCTAGGCACCTGCGTCTCGCTTTATATCAAAAGCGGCCTTAACCAAATTTAACTCATGAGTTCACTTAAAATTCCCATGTGCAGTACCAGCTTAACAAAGGACGCGCCCAAAAAGGGTAAACTGTCTTGATGGCAGACCCATCTTCAAGTTGTGCAGTGAGATGCCACGTGGAACAAGGTACAATGGCGCCTCATTCGGCAGACCCCTGCAAAAAAATTTCGATCTGACGTTGGCCGTTTCTGATGCCCGTTTACAATTCCTGGGAGCTTAGATCCGCATACGCACTGGTTACAAACTGTACAAAATACAGTGTGGTCGTTGCAGACATGGTGAAAGACGTATCTGGGGACACACCTCAAGGATGTTCAAATCCTTTATGCGCGGCCAGTGCGAAAGGACCGCCATACATAGATGCATGACTCAGACGATGTGTCCACTCTCATTTGAATGATGCTCAAGCGGTGTGGCTACGGCTTGGCGAGAACCCGACCCTGTATTCCCCGAAGGAAAAATACCTTTCCGTCCCCTACTACCAAACTGCGATTATTGCCGAAAAGGACGCGAAGGGACTAACATAGCAGGACACTATTCCGGACATACGTCTGCTCACAGTGAGGGGTACAACTCTGGGATTCGAAAGAGTTAAAGAATGAGAGGATGTAAAAGAAAAAGACAGCCAGAAAACGTGGTATCTGTAAACTGTATGACGCTCTTGACGACAAAGCACAGCTTAATAATAGAAAAAATCGTAAGGGTTGTTGGGACCGAGGGAGTTCTCCGGGTAGCGTCACGCTGGGCCAGGCCAGGAAAGGAGCAGCGGGCAGACTCCCGTCCAGGAACATGACGAGACGGGAGGGTCTCTCGCAACGAAACTTTGTTTAATACATATGTACAAAGTATTTACAACGTCCGAGAGCACGGATGCGACATTCTGTTTGCCCCTTTTATAGGGTCGCTCTTCGGTACTCTCGCGGCTGGCAGCCAATGGTGGCCGAGCTGCCAACAAATCATGTTCAGGCCCCGCCTCCACTCATCCCCTGAGCACGCACACACCCACATGCACATACTGCAGCTGTTGCCGGACTTTGCACTCCGGCGCCGAGGCACCCTTGCCCTCGAAAGCTGCGCCGAGGAGGCGACAGCAAGGGGTCCATTGTTTGCCCGGGTGACGACGTTGGCCGTGGTAGTGCTGACCCCTCCATCAGACGGCGTTGAGGCACGGGAAGGGCTTGGCCGGATCATCCGCAGGTGGCGTCCGGGGATAATCCCACCCTCACGGAGGTCCCGCAGCTGGCGCGTCGTTACCCGGAATCCTGGCCCGGTAATCCTCCCGGTTCTTGAGTCGGCTGACCCAGTTTCGGACCAGCGTTAACGCAGCCAGAAAGAAGGGTCCGGCTTAGCTCCGCGCCTAGGTGGGGCGGCGCCAACACGGTGGTCCCACGGCACCCCCTTGTCGCCTCTCGCCTCGTTTCCGGGCAAGCCGACCGGAGCCATGTGGCGATGCTACTCAATGAGTTCACCGTTGCCGGACGGATTAGATAGGGAGGGTCTGGTCCGGGGCTTTTCCGTTTTCACAACAGCTCCTCCGCCGCTGGGAAGAGTGTCTTGAAGGGGAGCAGTCCACACTGGTCCCTTGAAAGACGCGGTCTCACGGCAAGGCTGGCGACTGAGGTCCAGGCTGGAGTCAACTCTGGGAAGTGACAGTAACGCAACCCACAACACCGAACCAGACTCCGCGCAGCCGAGCGCCCAGCCCTCCATACCTTCAATCCGCCAGACCACTCTTAAACAACAATAAAAAATGCCCCTTGAAAGTTCCGTGCTATTCTATCAACGAAAGACACACAGAAACTTATTTTCGACGACAGGTTGCTTTAGCGAAAGAAACTTTTGTAGACCAATAAAAGCCCTGTAACGCTCAACCCCAAATAAAACGGACTCCCGTGAAAAAAACACATTACAAACCGCAACGTAACTCACATAGGGCATATCCCTATCAAATTCGAGCACGTCCTTCAGAACCCAAACATTACTGAGGAGGAAACCGCTTTAAAGGAACAACGCTAACACAACAAGCTAAAGCCCAACGAAATGGAAAACTCGGACTCCCGAAAAAAGAAAAGCTAATAAACTTGCCGAATAACCTAGTCGACTCAAAAGCACTTAAAGAACCACCTTTTTCCTCGAAAGTCCTTCTTTGTGTCTAACCCACGCCCTGTTTGTTCTTGGCATCACTCGGACTGTTCAAGTTCTTCTCCTTGGACTTGCGTGCAGGCCCGAAGTTGCAGTCTCGGAGATCTCCCTTAGTCTCCGCGTCCGACGTGACGCCAGGCTGAACCACCGGCGATGAACTGCGTCGGGAACCTCGTTGAGTCGTTCCAGGCTGGTTGTTGCCCAGAGGCTCCGGAAGTCTTTCTTTAGAGGGGGGGCTCGACATCTCCGAAATCCTCAAGGTTAGGTTGGTTTCAGGTTGACATTAATTGCCACATTTGAATGAAAACATATTAATGCACCGCGTTCGCATATTCACGCACATATCCATGGAAAACAAATTAAAACAATGGTTCAGTAAAATAACAGTAAGAAGCTTGCACTGACAACTCATACAATGATTGGATAACCACTGAAATCAGCCGCACCATGTGTTCTTTATTTTTCTTTCCTATACCAACTGTTACATGTCAACCGCAGCTGTGCCTATGCCAAATTGGCTATGTCTAAAAATGAAAACCTTCCTTCATTTAGGGATTCTCGGGGAAGCATGATGTATTAACGCAGACGTAGACAAACAAGTGTTAAAACTTTTAGACAAAACCCCGAAACTCGGGGGAAAAAAGGACAACACAACACGGAGTCTCAAACACAGCAAGTTGGGCCATCGGATGTCTTAACTGGAAGCAGAGGTTGCATACATCGGTATGTACCTCAGGATCAAGTACATCGACCGTGATTGCTTCGGACTCCTGGCGTCAATACAAGTTGGGGGGCATCACAAAAGGAGAGTACTGAAGGATAATAGCTGTGTTTCAGACTTCGTGTTGTGTTGTCCTTAGTTTGTAAACATGTGTCGCCTCATGCCTCACCACCCTGCGGGCACGACGCCGCATGCGCGCAAAGCTTTCGCCATCAAAGGCGCCTTGTCAAATTTGGGAGCTCGTAGACTTTCGCCTTTTCTAAGCACTCCCGAATCCCCACTCAAGCTCACCAGACCCCCCCCCCCTCCCCCTTTTCCTAATGATGGCCTTTAAGCGCCTGCCTGTTTTGTCCGCGGGCCAGAAGCACCATGCATCTTCTGGGCTTCTTGCTTCCACACGGGGGAAGCAGACAAACGCTGGCCGACGTCGTCTTGTCGGAATCCATTCATTTCGCTGTCTCCTCTTTGCTCGCTCTAAACTGGTTGTCAATCAGGCTCATGAGTCCTGCCTGTCATTTTCTTCTGGTTTTGACTTTTCAAGCAAGCCTCTCCGTCGCCCCGGTGCTTTTTGTGCTTGGCGGAGGTGAGGAGGGCGGTAGGTCAGCATGTATAAAGAGTCATTACATTTATTTCGGCTCAGGAGAGACGGAGGTACAGCAAATAGGCCGAAGGCCCATACCAGATAACCTGCAAACACACAAACTAAAAAAAAAAAAAAAAAGAGGGAGGGGGAGGGGGGGCTCGGCAGCTCGGTCCTGAGGACAGGAGGGGCTCAAGCCCACCCTGCCCCCCCGCTTCCAGCTCCTCCAGGCTCCTTGCTCGTACTTGAGCTGTCGGTCCGTGGCTGGTTGTGGTGGGGGTCCTGGAGTTTTCCCCCTCCTAGCCTCGAAGACCGCTTCCTCTTCTTGTGGCGCTCGTCGTGGTTGCCCTGACGCTCTCTGCAGGAAGCGTTGCTGCCAGAACGTACAACGCTGAACCGGCGCTGCCTTTTCTTCTTTCGTCTCGGTCGCTGGTTCGTGTCGGCATCCAAGTTTTCGGTCTCGGATTCCCCATGCCGCCAGCACGACGACGTCTTCAGGTGCACTTGTGTCGGGTCTGTTTGGTCCCGCCCGGGCTCCATCGCGACTCCGGAGGGTCCCTTGCCCGCGCAGCCGCCGCCGGTTGCAGGTCCCCTGGGATGGCCGGCTTGGGGTCTCCCGTCCTCCAACCCCGATGACGACTCGCTGTGGAACGCGTACTCGTCGATGTTCTCCGGGCACCCGGACTCCGTGAATGGTCTAGAGTCCGGGCTCCGCAACCGCACCAGGCAGGATTGGTTGATCTCGTCGAAGGAAATCTCAATCACCTCCCTCCTGGTGGGCCGCTTGGACTCCTGTGACGGCGCCATGGACTTATCCTCAAAGCCGCACGGGTGCCGATCAGAGCGGTCAGGATCTTGGCTTGATTGCTGGGCCGCTCTCCCCGGCATCTCGGCGCTGCTCTCCATGAGCTGGCTCGACCTCCCCGGCGTCGTCTCCGTCTCGGCGTCGCCTTTGTCATCCGGGAAGTCGCCGCTGGACGCCCGAAGAGCCTTCTCTTCTTTCCCATGATCCCAATCACTTTCAGCCTCCCGCAGCTCGGGCGCTGGGGAGGTCTTGCGCGGAACGGCGTCGGTCTTGCGCGGAACAGCGTCGGTCGCGTCGGAGGAAACATGCTGGTTTCCGGTCACCTCGGTGTCCCCAGCTTCTATTTTCCTCTTTTCCTGACACACCACTTTTGTTGCTGCTTCCACGTCACTCTCACCGTCCCGCCGCTCGCAGTTCGGGTCGGGCTTGCGAAGAACGGTGACGGCCGTGTCGGGAGAAAGACGCTGGTCTCCGGTCATCTCTGTGTCCCCAGCTCCCACTTTCTCCTTTCCCTGACACGCCTTCCCTGTCACCCTTTCAACGCCTGTTGTCTCCCGACGAAAACACTCAACCTCCCGCGCTTTCTTCGCGAGCTCGAGCTGCTCGAACTCGTAGTCGAGCCGCTCCATTTCGCGCTTATACTCGCGCTTCTCGAGTTTCCATCTCTTACACTCGAGAGCCCACTCGAGTTCTTTTCTAGCCCTCTCGCGAGCCTCCTCGTCGGCCCGCTTTCTGCGTTCCTCCCGCTCCCTTTCGCGAACTTCCTCCAGAGCCTCCGTGAACTCTTCAATGCTGACGTCTTCGGCCTGAAGGAGTTTTATAATATGCGGTTTGCGTTTGGTCTGCCCTAAATCGATTCCCAATTCGGTACAAACCTGCACTAACTCGTGCCAACGGAATGCCTCGAGACTCATGATCTAGCTTGTGTTGGCTCTCTTTCTCACAAAATTCTCGCGTCAGAACGGTCACACAGTCCTTCTAACAACGACTATCTCCAACCCCCACAGGCAAAACTTAGAGCTAATGGGTCTGGCAGATTGAGAAAGAGAGGGCCGGGCACTCACCCACACAAGAAGTCATGGTCCGGCGAAGTCGATCCCACCGCTGCCACCAGTTGTTGGGACCGAGGGGGTTCTCCGGGTAGCGTCACGCTGGGCCAGGCCAGGAAAGGAGCAGCGGGCAGACTCCCGTCCAGGAACATGACGAGACGGGAGGGTCTCTCGCAACGAAACTTTGTTTAATACATATGTACAAAGTATTTACAACGTCCGAGAGCACGGATGCGACATTCTGTTTGCCCCTTTTATAGGGTCGCTCTTCGGTACTCTCGCGGCTGGCAGCCAATGGTGGCCGAGCTGCCAACAAATCATGTTCAGGCCCCGCCTCCACTCATCCCCTGAGCACGCACACACCCACATGCACATACTGCAGCTGTTGCCGGACTTTGCACTCCGGCGCCGAGGCACCCTTGCCCTCGAAAGCTGCGCCGAGGAGGCGACAGCAAGGGGTCCATTGTTTGCCCGGGTGACGACGTTGGCCGTGGTAGTGCTGACCCCTCCATCAGACGGCGTTGAGGCACGGGAAGGGCTTGGCCGGATCATCCGCAGGTGGCGTCCGGGGATAATCCCACCCTCACGGAGGTCCCGCAGCTGGCGCGTCGTTACCCGGAATCCTGGCCCGGTAATCCTCCCGGTTCTTGAGTCGGCTGACCCCGTTTCCGACCAGCGTTAACGCAGCCAGAAAGAAGGGTCCGGCTTAGCTCCGCGCCTAGGTGGGGCGGCGCCAACACGGTGGTCCCACGGCACCCCCTTGTCGCCTCTCGCCTCGTTTCCGGGCAAGCCGACCGGAGCCATGTGGCGATGCTACTCAATGAGTTCACCGTTGCCGGACGGATTAGATAGGGAGGGTCTGGTCCGGGGCTTTTCCGTTTTCAAAACAGGGTGCAGGCAAGCTGGTGAATATTAGCCATGTTGAATTAACCTGAGACTGGGGTAGAGAAGAAACATCAAAACGTAGAAAGGACAGAAATTAGAGCTCAGTTTGAGACGTCGTCCTGTCTATTTTCTGTTCCTTCTACGTTTCTATGTTTCTTCTCTACCCCAGGCTCCAGTTAATTCCACATGGTTAAAGCTCAATGATGTCCACGCTCTCTTTTGGGTCAAGATAAAGAAAGCATTTTCTTGCGTCGAAACGAAGTGTGCGAGCTCTCGGAATCCTCGAAGAGATAGTGGAAACTGATTCAGTGCTGGTCAAAAGGAGTACCCACTTTTGTGGGTGCGGCTTTTTAAACAGGCCGGCGCTCCTCTTTGGTATCGATAACAAGATAGGCTAGGGTACGATAACTGAAGTGGTGGATGGCGGTGCAGAGAAAGACCGTACAAGATGCCTCACTCTTGACTTACAACCCCAGCAAGATGGAGAGGTGTCGGGTGGTTCTTCTCATCTGCTTTTGTAAGTAGTAATACAAATTTATTTACCGCTAAGAACGATAGCTTACGTATAATTTCACGCTCCCTGTCGTAGGACAGGGTCACTGCCGACTGTGGCATCTGCCGATCATTAACGCGATTGAGGGCGAGAAGAAACAAATAAGGATATGTATATTGTTTCCATGGCACCCGTGCGCTCCGCTTTCTGCTCGAAGTCTGCTTCGAGCACAAGACGGATGCGGCAGGCAAAATTCTGCCTTATTGCAATGTTTGAAAATTGCGCCAGTGTTGAAAAGGAAAAAAAAAAACATAAAATGTAGCGAAAAAAATGTCAAAAAGTTATAAGTGAGGGTGTGCAAGAACTAAACTATCAACTATGATGTCATTGTTCCTAAAACAATTTTTTTTATCATTTTCTTAATTTATAAATGTTACAGAATTAGTTGTTATGAGCTCTCCCCATCACGGGAAATGAGTGTCATTGTTGATGTTGTAGTTGACATTACAGTTAGCGATGTAGGATGTCCGTCGTCGATTTCACAAAATCCTTGAAAACGATGGCTCGCCACACGCGGGAATCGAACGCTGGTCCGCTGCGTTAGAAGCGGAGGCGTAACCACTGAGCTCCGCCGGAGTCACTAACTCCCTCTATACTGTGGGTTTTTGTAGTAGCCGTTGCCCATTTCACACGCAGTTTGGAAGAAAAATAGCCTATAACAAAATGACGTCGTAGCACTATCAATGCCAAGAGCTCGTGACGGGAGACGCGCATTCAAGCCCTCCGGAAAAAAAAAGAAAAGAAACAAAAGCGTTTTTAACAAAAGAAAACAAAGCATACGCGTTCGGAACAAAACATGTACATATACCAAGTGATTCAAGGAGACGGCAGACTCTTTAAATCGACCGCAAAATTCGGTTTCTTAACCTATCGCGCTACGACTTTGTGCAGCGTTAAACACAGATGGTGCTTTTTTTTTTTTTTTTTGTAAAATTTGCAAAGAACGAACTTACCTGAGGAAAAAGTAAAGAAGAAAAAAGGCTTAGCTCCTATGGAAACGCAGCGAAGCAACCGGTCTTCGAACAACACGGCGCCGTTTCGCACGGGAGACAAAAGATGGCGTATGCGGTCGCGACGCCAACTGCCGCGAACGAAGGAGCTGACGACGCCGAGAGCCGGCGTTTTTAGCAGACAAGGAACTGCAGTTGCTTGTTGTTACCGCGCCTGTTTTTGTTTCTGCGACTGTCGCCGTTTGCGGAACGCGCGCCGCTTTTGAGTCGAAAAGATCGTCTGCTAAAAACGCCGGCTCTCGGCGCCGTATGCTCGTTCGTTGCGCCATCTCTTGTGTCCCGTGCGAAACGGCGCCGTGCTGTTTGAAGACCGGTGGCGTCGCTGAGTTTCCATAGGAGCTAAGCCTTTTTCTTTCTTTACTTTTGCCTCAGGTAAGTTTGCTCTTTGCAAATTTTATGAAAAAAATGCACCATCTGTGGGCAACGCTGCACAAAGTCGTAGCGCGATAGGTTAAGAAACCGAATTTTGCGGTCGATTTAAAGAGCCTTCCGTCTCCTTGAATCACTCGGTATATATATATTGTTCCGAACGCTTTTGTTCACATACCCCATGCTGCGTGAACGTAACTCCGATGCCCAACGACTTCGCCGCAACGTGTCGCAGCTCTCGGTGCTACTACACTCTGAATTAACGCAGGGCTGTTTTTTTTTTCTTTATGTGTACGTACTCGAAAGCATAATATATTCGCAACATATTTTATGAAACTCCTCCAGCAGCAGTCCATTCAGAAATTTAATTCAAATGTCTATTTATGTTTAAATGCCTCGCTTGGATATTACGAACAAGTTCTTCCCAGATAATTTTTACAAAAAACGATATGAATAAGAGATTGGATGCTATGTGTAAAATTCACACGTACGTTTCGAATTTATAAACTTAAAAAAGAAAACCGAAGGAAGCGCCGACACACATTCGCACAGCTCGCTTCAACAAGGGGCCAGAAACCTCAGTTCCAGCACCTTCAAAGTACCGTGGTCGCTTAATTCATGAAACAGTGACGAAGCTTTGTCTCAGCGACAACAGTACTAAGATTGGAAATTTCTATCGGACGCGGCGCTCACAGAATACGACTTTAAACCCCGACATATCTTCTATTGCTTACCATAGGAGACCAGGCAAGCCCGCAGGCTTCCACAGGTTTCTGGCGAACAATGCGCCTTGTGGCGCGGCTTGAAACCAGGACTATACGTGCGGATTTTATCTGGCAGCCACGAGGAGCGCGCTGTTCACACCTAAACTGTACCTAAACTGGACTTCCTGTGTAGGCTACCTATGGTAGTCAGAGTTGCGCGTCTGTTTTCCACATGCCGCCGCGCCGCTATTCGCCGAGATCCGATCACGTGAGGAGCAAAATTATATGTGCCGTTCAGGAAAGCCTGAACGGCACGCCGGGGCGCGTTTCGCGCGCCCCGACGTTTTTGCCTGTGCCCCGGCGTACAGGAAAAGAGGAGGAGCCTCTTGCCTCCTTCATCTACGCGCGGCGCCGCTATCGCATACAAAAATGTCCTAAGGTCGGCTATAGAAAATTCTTTGTATGGTCGGCTTTAGCTATTTGGCCCAATTAGCTAAAGAAATTTCTATGGCTTCCTTCAGCACTCTTATGGTCGCCTTTATGGGCCTCTTTAGCTCCGTCTATGGCCCTATCGTTGTCTAGTTATAGCACTCTTTAGCTTGTCTAACGGTTGGCTAAAGACTTTTCTATGGCTTACAATATGGCTCTCTTTAGCCAGCAAACTAAAAAAAAAAGAAACATTTACTGTGAATTTTGTGAACGCTACATGGTAGACATTTTGTTTTGTGAACGCTACTTGGTAGATGTACATAAATCTCTGAACTCACAGAATATACAGAATACAAGCAGAACACTACCCCACACAACAGCAACAACGCAGCGACAGTGGAGCGAACATGTACTATGTTCGCACTAGCTGTATATATGGCAGTCTAATTTTTGAATCCGACATTGCTGGTGACCCATCATTTGTCGCAAAAACACGGAGAGGCGCAGCAAATATTACACTTACTTAATACATTATTTGAATTGTCTCTTGGAATAGCCCCATCTCTTAATTCAACACCCTGAAAAAAGCAAATGTAGATCATTAGGCTAATTAACTAAAATTTATTATCTTTTTAATAAGTTTGATGAATCACGTTGACAATGCAGTGATGACATGCAGTACATTAGTGTTAAAGATTGCAATCAAGCTATTGCTTGATTGTAGTGTTCGGCGCCAGTGTAATTTATTTTCACGTTTGGGGAGTAATAATTAATTTTAATTGTTCCACAAGTATTTAATGAATTTTTTAGACAAACAATTTTATGGGTTTTCACGACTCGTTGCAACAGCGGAGAACATGGTTTGTCACCGGCATTACATCAATTTAGTATTGATTTGATTTTCTAACTTCGAGTGTTTTTACTAAAAAGGTAAGCGTCGTTAGCGATTTCCTATAGGCGTGGAAAGAAAATTTATTGGTTCTTAGTCTTTAGACTCAAGGCCATACATTTTTCTATAGACGGATAAAGATAATTTATTGGTTTCCAGTCATTAAACTTGGGGCCAAATAATTTTCTATAGGCGGGTCAAAACATTCATTGGTTCACTGTCTTTAGACATGGGGCCATATAATATTCTATAGGCGTCTAAAGGAATTTTATTGGTTCCCAGTCTTTAGACTTAGTGCCATAAAATTTTCTATAGAAGGTTAAAGACAATCTTTTGGTTCCCAGTCTTTAGGCATGTGGCCATACATTATTTTATTGGCGGGTAAAGAAAATGTATCGGTCCCCAGTCTTTAGACACAGGGCCATAGATTTTTCTATAGCTGGCTGTAGCTGTCTTTATGAATTTCTATGGCCGACCATAGAGGACCATAGGGGTTGATAGCCTGTCATATAATTTTCCATAGACGACCATAGACCATTTTTGTATGGGATTCGCCGAATTCAGTCACGCGACGAGTAAAATCCCGTGTCGTGCTGGAAAGCCGGCGCTGCGAGGATGAACGCGCAAATCTGGCTCCCGTAGGGAGACTGAACAGGAACTCTTACCTAAACTAGAGTAATTATATGCTCTGCTTATAGAGCCAAAGTATCGCGTTCCTTTTCCTAGCGCCGCCGACTTCATAGTAGCGAAGAGGCGGTCACATGTACGTGTTTTCTCCAGACAAATTATATTCTATAGTGTACCCTGTAACTGCAGGGAAACCAGACCCAGTCAAATTACCTTGAGGAAGCTTTTTCTATGGTGCCATCAGCACAATAGTGCTGCAATAAACAAAGTCAGTTCAGATCAGCTGGGTCCAAACAGCATGAGGTAAAGCAACCTTAAAGGCGACGAGTTCTGGGTTCTGGGTTCTGGAAGCATCTTTCTCGGTCTGGGTTTGCGAAATATACATTCTACTATAAACTCGAACGAACTGGAAGGTTCAGCGACCACTGAGCATTATGTGTAGCCAATGGGTACAGTAAAATTGTGGTGTTTTATCATTCGAGCGATGTTTTAAAACAGGCTTCCGAAGTCTGTGAAGCAGACGACACGGAGGATGATCGTCTTGCTCGCGTCTGCTTCCCTGGCGGAGTGATACGGGATCAGCACATCCGGGCACCTTGGACCAGACAACAACGCGCAGCTGCGGCTTGCGAAGAGATGGCGTTTTCGTCGAATACTACGTACTGCCGTGAGCACAGATAAAAACATGAGACAAACGACGGGTTGACGACGCTCGCGCAGTGTGTCGCCGTACTATATTTGTTCTGGTCCGCACGCCGCATCACGCCGCCTCACAGTCACGCCCTCCGCGCCTCCAGATCTCCTGCAGAAGAGACGTTCGCTTCCCGCAAAGCGGCTTGGATCCGACATGGCTGCCCTGGAAACACCATTACGATACTCTGCTCCGCAAGCAGAGCATATACAGTTACTTTAACCTAAACCAGTATACCGGGTGTTTCGGGGAAGAATTTCAAAAATGCCCACCAATAGGGTGGTAAAAAAAATGAAGAAAAAAACTTGTCTCGGAAACAAAATGCCAGCCGGGACGAAGGCCAATAATTGAAGAGAAATACTGATCAGTTAAATCATCAACTAAATTCTACGAATTCAATTTTAATTCCTGGAACAAAACATATGATTTGCTGAGCGTCACCAGAATTCCTAAATACGTCAGTTTTTGGAAGAGTTAATCGATCATGGGAGTGGGCTAAAGTTTCCTATCGTGCAGCGAGCATAAGGCTGGCGGTGCGGAAACAAGGATGCTATTCTTATTACCGCGTTTCCGGGTAACCAGCCTTATGCCTGATGCACGGGAGGTAACTTCAGCGCATTCCTGCGCTGGGTGGACAATAAAAATCAAGATGATTAAAATTATGGCTTAAATCAAGATGATCTATATCGTGACTTGAATCACGATATGAATCGTGATGTAAATTAGACCACATCTAGTAGGACGATTTAAATGAAACCTCTTCCGCCAAAGTGATTCGGAAAATAGTTTTATTTACTTTTCTATCATATGATGAACTCTGACATTTGTCTTGTATTTCAATAAAAAAATTATCAAGCAAGGAATAGTTATATCAAGCTGAAGGCGTGTAAAAAGCAGCGCTCTTCCTGTCGAATCGGAGCTTTGAACTTTCTCTGAAACTACACTTCGCTTGTCCGTTACGTAGCGTCCTATTTTATGCATATCAAAACAAGAAATAAGGCTTTTCATTTCGACAAAAAGTAAATCTGATTTTGTTTAGTATGGCTGGGTGTACATCGATAAGAAGGTGCTAAACAAATTCTTCTTTAGGCATTCTATCTAGCTAGGAAGTGAGACTGTTTATTTGTTTTAGTATGGGTGGGTTTACATCAATAAATATTGCTAATTTAACTTCACTTTAGTTTGAAGTAACGCTTTATCCCGCATTGTTTTCAGTGATCGCAATAATGGATCAGTCAATCATCCATGTTTTAATATACATCCAGTGATAAAGAATCACTATTTTGTGGCTACAGTGTTCTAAATAAAACTAATAGGATTTAAACAAAATAAATTTAATTTTAATAAAGTAAGCGATTAAAATCAATTGAATAGGCTTTATTTGTTTTTCATCCTGTTGAGTCATCCTTAAGACTGATTTAGGAGTTTTCAATGACGCTCCGCAAGTGTTTAGTTGGAATCATTTGTCTATTTTCATTACATGAAAAGTTAATTAGCGATTTCTACTTAATAATTTCGCTAATAAGTAAAATTTTTGCAATCTCTGATGGCAGCCTTCGCTGGCAGTTTAATCCCGGAAGGATTTTTTTTTGTCTAGCTATACCATTCATATTCCTAAAAATTATTTTAAAGTCGCTGAAGCACCCAGTATATCTTACATCGTGGTGGTGTTTACAGCTTTCTCACTATAATAAATGAAACTCATGACGCCGTCGACTTTCCTCCCAGGTCATTTTGTGAATATCGCGACACCCCTGGCAGCACAACGTTCCATCGCAATGCTTGCATTTACAAAGCTAGACACCGAACGCTAACGGGTATATACAAATCCATTAGCCAAATGAGGTATAAGCAGAAGATGGAACATTATTGCGCCATTACATTACCACTATTATAGGTCGTAATTGAAATGTCAGTGCTTTCATGCAGTGCATATGGCTCTTCTGCTGTTTTTTTAGTCTGGCGGTTTTAAAAACTGCAACTTATACACGATTGTTTTCTTGTTTTCTTTTTTTTTTTGGGGGGGGTATTAGCAATTTGTTTTTATGCGTTCTCTGACCAATGCTTCTTGTACTCAGAACTGTATAATTTTTTTGCCTTGAACTGAACATTTGCACTGACAATGAGTAATTATAATATACAGGACAATTTACTTTCAGTGTTGGAAACGAGCCCGGCGTCGGCGATCTGGCTCTTTGAGGATGACACTGGATTGCGTGGTAACAAATTTTTTTTTTGTAATGGGTACGCAGAGTCACCTTTAAGAAGAAGAACGTAATTAGTGCTGAACCACAAAAATAGAGGAAGTCAATTACTGTTATGGTACAATGTTGTCACAAAAGGTTTTGATTTAATTATTAGCGTACCCACTATGTCGCCCTTTAGAACATAAATCTATGCTTCTTTGATCAGATACATTACACTATTATTAATTTGTTAAAAAATGTGCCTCTCCACATGCATGATACTTTACTAGAAGCCGTAATTAATCTACTAGAATTTAAAATTTTTGACGTCCACAGTTTCCACAAAAAAGTCTGAACAACTGAGTATCTATTAGACGTGTCTAGCTGCCTCAGTGTGCGGCCACCTTTGGAAAATATTCCGTGCCTATCTGCAGTATATTCATGCTCTAATAGAATTTAAAAAAATGTTTCATATTTAAGAATATAATTCAGTCAAAAGCCGGACTTCTGCTAAAAATAAGAAAATGATTAGTAAACTAACAAAGAGTATACGTAAAAATGTTTTCATCAATACATGAAAGACGTAAAAAGAAATTTTAATAACAAGAGATACTTTGATGCAGAGATGTTTTGGAAGAGTATTTTCTTTTTCAATGTGTACAAGCGAAAGTTTGTAAATGTTGACAAACGTATGGCAACAAGTGGTTGTAGACTCTCAGAAAGGAAAGGCTTTTTCCGAAAGATCTCTGCATTAAAGTCCCTATCGTAACTTAAATGTGTCTGAACTTAGAAAAAATAAAAACTATTATAAAGAGCCTTCCCATCGCTGTCATGAGGTCAAACTTTTTGCAATACAACATCGTACTTACAAAATCATTATTCATGATTAATAAGCTGCCCATCAGTTGTAAATAATATTTTTAGTTATTCTTTTATTTGCTCTTAATGCTTTAGGCACCGAACTTTTAAAATTGCAACGGAGTTTTTATTATAGTGGGCTAAAAAAAAAGTTAGACATCGAATACGTTTCTGATTGAAGAAGAATACATTTCAAGGGTAGTTCAGTGAAAGTGTTTTAGGCAAATAAGTTACAATAAGTCGGTTTTTGAAGGTATGTAACTCTTTTGTTCAGCTTGTTTTTGTAGCCAATCATACGATTGCATGTGTTGTCCATGTAAATTGAACGAACATTAAAGTGAAAATTTAGGGCGATGTTTTGTATGAGATAATTGAAACCATGTTTTGCATTCAAGTAAATATTTTCTACATTCGTATCCTTATCAATGTTGCAACGCATGAATAGCTATTGCGACTTTTTTCCCTAACTATATCTTTGAAACTTTTAGAGTTGCTACGCATTTTTCAGTTCATTGTCATATGACTGCAGCAACATGCTAAAAGAAACTGCAAAACATTTAGAAACATGAATTTTTAAATGTTGTATATATTAGGTTATTGCCTAAATACGTGCACATTTGGCAATGCCTTTCTTTTCAGACCAGATTAATTTCATCGAAAAGCCTTTCGAGTGCCCCAGAGATCGCGGCTTGGTTCTCCCAAGTACAATGATTTGTGACGGCCAACCCCAATGCTCTGACCCTTTTCGTGAAGATGAACGCAACCATGCTTGTGGTAAGACAGCCATGTAGTCTCTAATAAAGTGTACTAATTGAGTGTTAATTTGACATAAATTAAGCACGCAAATTTTTTTATCTCTTATCATGCATTTGTGCTGCCTGGTGTAGTCAAAACAGTGAGTGTGATTGCATATAATAAAGAAAGTTTTATTTGTGAAGCCACCGTGCCTCAAAGTCTGTGCAATAATAATAATTTTTAATTTCAAACACTAGACAACTGCCATAAAGCATACTTGTTTCTCAAAACATATGTGATAAACAAAATATATATACATTTGGTCTCGCGTCCCTGATTTACGTTGGCAATGTGCGTCACATGTGTCACACAACAACAGAGTCAATATCACATAAAACATCTTGCACATTCTAGTTACAAGGAAGTGTAAGATAGGTAAGACATCGGCTGGTGTCAATAAGAGCTTGAACAGCGGAAGAATGTGTGCAAACACGCATGACCTTTTGATTGTTTTGCGTGAACGGTTCGCTAGAGGCAGATTGAAGAATCTCGAAATTCTGGTACGGAGTCCGTACGACAGTGTAACCATATAATAAACCCACGGCAATGTTTTATTATATTATATAATAAAACTTTTCTCTGTCAAGAGAAGTGGCTTCGTATAAGTTAGCCACGCGGTTGCTCTGGCAAATCTGGGGATTTTGAGCAGAACAAGGCACATTGTGCTCGGCGATTCCTGCAAAAATACGTTTGCAAGACAGAAGGTTACCACTAAGCATTCAGTTTGTGTGTGGAAAGTTATACAGCAACCTGCACAATAGAATACTTATGTTAGACATTTTATAAAACAAAGGCAACGCGTAATGTTAGCGTTCTGTTTTACTACACTATGTATAACAAATCGGCGCCGACCCCTAAGTACCTTTCTCGGAATATAGTGGTATGCCGAAGCGACCAAGGGACCCATTTGAACGAGAACATTTTGCTGTTCAAAAGGCTTATATCCTAATAATATCTCAGGAACGCCGTGGGTTGGATTTATAATTGCGTTATCAGCGAACACAGTCCTGAAAATTTTAGACTCTACATACCTGTCCATCAGGGGTACAAGGACTGAAATATGTTGAAACAGAGATATTCGGGGATCTTCAAAAAAGTGAACTTAATATGTAGCGTAACAATAATTGTGCCCGTTTAATGAGCATCACCTGGAAAATGCATGTAAAATATCTTTGAAGACATATTTTACCTGAAATAGTGTGCAAGTTTCAGGAAAAAATATTGTCGTGAAAATTGAAGATTATTTTTATGCACCGTTTAGACTGATTGAAAATCGTCATAATTATCCGTTTATCTTCACAGCTCCAAGAGATTACTTGCTGCAGAACCTTACCCTGAAGGCCAGAAATACCACGAAAAACTCCACTTTTCTGAAGTGGTCATCTGGTGAGGCTCCCGAAACTGCGCGCCACTCATCACTGAAGCTTGGAGGTTACCTTTTGACCGTAAAATCCTTCGATCATCTCATTGAAAGAAAACTAAGGCCAGAGCTCATAAACTTTACACAGACTGACCTGAAACCGTGGACCGAGTATAACATCACTTTGAGAAGATTCTACATCGCCGTAGATGAAGAGGAAATTCTACCAATGAAAGTTGGAAGGGCGGCAACCGTCACCATAAGAACAAACCCGTCCGGTGAGTGTGTGTTTCGAGGATCTCTAGTGGACCCGCTGCTTAGTATTTAAATCATTTAGTTATTTTAGGAAATGCAATATGGAGGGCATGAGGTATAGGTCACTTTAATCTATTGTTGATGCTTTTTTTGTCTTACTGTGCTTTAATGTTGCACTAGAACGGGACTGGGGAAGTTCGAAGATGCTAACAACCGCTTTCTGAAGAAAATGTAATTTGGAGCTAAAAAAATATATTTTATTAATAAAATTCAGTTATGTTCAGTGAAACATTTGTTTTGTAGGTCTCCACCGTTCAATCATGCACCAAATGCACAATAAATCAAAACTCCTTCACTCTGAGCGGACGAAGTAGGTCTCTTCATCTGAATATCAAAGACTGCACATGTCTTCACAGCCCAGTGACTCACCATTTTAATTTGAGTGATAACTGCTGGAAATGTCTAAATTGTGCATCCGGTGCCCATTAAGCTGATATGGACTTTATTTCTTCCCTTTATCCTCCCTCTCCATCTCAAATACTCTTGAAACGAAAAATATATTGTACTCTCATTTTTTTCTTAACCTTTTCTGCAGAACCTGCCGCACCAAAAGACGTTCGCCTCGTCCTGTCGGAGAAAAAAAATTTACTTCTAGAGATCAAGAGCCCTGAGTTCTGGAATGGACCCCCTTCCAAATATCGCATTCGTTGGGAACCGAAGGATCGGCGAAGGGGTTCGTCAGGTTATAGAGACATCGATATTGCTTCAACGTGGACGCCTAAACAGAAATGGACAACTACCAATGTAACTCTTGAACCAGGACTACAATACAAAGTGTTTGTGTCAGCCCAAAATTCAATAAGCACCGGCGTCAGTTTCTGGGGTCCCGAGTATGCAAACGAAGTGACGACGATTCCTTTAGGTGAGTGCGTCAGTGGGAATATATTATTTTTCCGACGCATTATTAAACATTCAAGGAGTTCGAGCTTCATGATTTCGTTGAGTTTTTTCTTTGTGTTTGAGTCTTGGAATTTATCTCCGTAACATTCTCTACATAAGGTTGCCTGGTCTGCAAGAAACTACGTTAAGAAATTAACCTCTCCATTTTTACGCAACACACCCAAAGGCTTTCAAGCAATCCTGACAATACAAAAACTATGAAAGGATTTATAACAAAAAGTAATATTGAAAAAACAATTGCCGCAAATAAATTTCAAATGCGATAAGACTGGGGCGCTGCGCTGCTAATCAATCTTTCAAAAGCAAAATTATACTAAACTTTAAACTAATTTCCTACTTCTTTAAGTTAGAAAATGTAGATTATCACGTTAAGGCACGTTCATACACCTGCGACCGAGTCCGAGCGACTCAGACAAGACCGGTGTGTGAGCCTCTTGTGGCTGCTTGCGACCGAACGCGCTGCTGCGGAGCCGACCGTAAGACGTCACAAAAGCCTGAAAGCAGGTTTTGTCTCACTCGGTCAGAGTCGAACGCAAGTGTGTGAACGGGTCTTTGTTTAATGTATTCACCAATTTTGAAGACGAAATAATCAATTACGAAGCATAATATTACGTTTAACAATCGCTAGATTGAGACATTGAAGGTCAGGTGCATTATTAACACCAAAGAGACTAAAACAAACTTTTTCTTGTCTCCAGGGTTGAGCAGAAGTCGAGACAAAGCAAGGAACGTAAAGACTCTTTTTTTTTTCTAGTTTTTGGGTCGCGTAAATCAGATTATTATAATTGAAAGGGGAATTTAAAACATGAAACGCTTCTTAAACGTAGCCCCTCCCAAAATATTCTCCGTTCGTCCGTCCGTACGTGCATTTTCGGATAAATATGGCGAGGAAAGTGGCGTCATGTGACGACACCTGACGTGACGTGTCCTATACAGCTTCAGAAAATCAACGCTACGTGACCTATACATCAATTCAGTTACCCGCTAAATTTAGCGGGAAACATACGTCACGTGAAACGCCAATACCCTCACCAATTCCTTGTAATGCACTTCATGCATTATATGGCCTTGAAGGTAAAGATCGCTGCCAATTTTTTTATAGTTCAAGGTATTGACGAGCGATTTTAAGGACCTTGCATTTATATCTCTCCATTTACGGAGCTCAGGAATTAATTTTCAAGTAATATTTCTGCAAAATGCAAGTCTTGCGATTTTATTTTACTTTACTGAGTGAGCTCTGTTTTGGATACAACGCACTGTTGTTCTTTTTTTTTTTGTGTTTCCAATGTGCCGAACAAACACGCACTGTCGTTTTCAGCAAGCAGCCTGATGCGAGCGATGCCTAATAAGACTCAACTTGTATGAGTGGAACAATCAAAATGCGTCGTCCTCACAAAAACGTAATCATAGAAAACGTTGTTCATGAGGTATGCAAATTCGCTTTCAGATCCAGTTGACCTTGTGGCAGAATCTTTAACTCCTACGGAAGTTCTAATCAGCTGGCGAAGCGCCGGCCATTCTGAATATTTCCAGGTAAGTGTTATTACCTCACACATTTCTCCGCAGTATAAATTACAAACTGAACGTGTTAAAAAATAGCACGAAACAAAAAAGACAATAAAAAGGCAGAGAAATGCGCGAGGCACACTCTCACTCTGCTTTTTTTTGCAAGTAATCAAAAAATGTTACACCAATTGTTTGATTATAGTCAAGTCATCTCACATCCCAAAGCCATGCGTCATAAACTAAAATTGAACATTGATGTAAGGGATAACTCAACAGGGTGCAACTGAGCTTGCAGCTAGGCAGTAACTCCAAATAATAAAAACCAGTGTCAAGATTTAAACACAAATACGGTATACTTGAATGTTACAGTTTTATCATCAATGAAATCCTCTTCCGCCTGGTCACTTCGTTGAATGTCTTATTAATTCCTCTATCTTTTCAAACAAATCGATTTTAGCAAATGGCCGCCGCGTTCGTAACGCTGCCAAAATTTTTCTCAACACGAAGCGGATGGCAAAGCACGCTCAGAGCAGTAGCGAAATTTCGGCACTGTGCGTAAAGACTAACGTTTCCGCGACGGAACGTGGCAGCGGCGGCAAAGTAAGACTGGCTGGTGAGGATGGTTTATTGCTGTTCCAGTAATTATGATCTAAGCAGGTGCTTTGAAATTCTGTAATATATTTGAGCTCTTTATTAAATAAAAGCTGAAGAGATTCTTGAAACAAAAACGAGCTAGAAGTGAATCCTAAAGTGTTTTATCAAGTAAATCTGATTATGATGTTCGTTGTTCTCGATGATGTAACTAAACGCGTGAAAATATGAAAACCCTCCGACCGGTCGTTACGTGATAAAATAATTTTCCGGCCGCCAAGCGCGTGTTGCTCGTTTGGGCAGCGCGTGCAATTGCAAACTTTCCAGGAATTTTTCCCCAGACTGACACCAGTCGTGACGTATTTTTTCTGGCCTTTCAAAAAATAGCAAGAGTGCGCGTGCATAGCTTGGGTAGGCGCTGAAAATGCGTTCAAGCGGATATTCTGAAAACTCTTTTTATGGCGTAACGCTGCTGTAAAAACGGGCTTTGGCTATACTTTGAAGACGATTATCTGCAGCGTCCGTGCACCAAATTTAAAGAAAACGTTCCTGGTATTTGTGATTGTGGAGGCCACATGAAAACGATTTACGTGTTTCTACTTCAATAGAGAACCGCTTCAGCTCCCCTCTAAAAAATAATATATATATATATATATATACTTCTAGAACGAACCTAGCACAAGAAAGGGCACGCGTCTGCATAAAGCGCTAAAGAACGTAGCATTTAAAATCTAGTTTCAGCAGGGCAGTCCGAGCGCTCCGAAGGCCTTCGGCGAGCAGGTTTGGCTTGCGGTTTGGCTATTTTGCGGTTTGGCAGCGCGAAGTGGCTCCCGTTCTGAACTGATATTTACCCCGTGCTTGGTGTCGTTTGTGGACAATGAAGTGGCATGCCGAATTAGTGTTTAATCGCGCTGAAAATGCAATGCGAGCAGCCCTGGCCACTCGCTTCATCCAGCCTATCCAGCACATGATTTAGTTGCGCCCTCTCGAGCCACCGACACGGAGTGCGGCAGCCGTGAGCGCTCGGTGAGCTCAGTACCCCTCCTCTAGTGTACGGCCACTCAAGCCAGGACGAAGGACGTCATTAAGGACGTTATTTTTTGTTTGTTTCTGTAATCTTAATTTAAAAACTTTTAAAATTAAGGTAAAGTCAAGAAAATAAAAGTTTCACTAAGTTACTACCAGTGCGCTCAGGTTCAGTGCAAATTAAAAACCAGTTAAAAAGTCGTCGCAGGGCCCCTTTCAGTTCATTTCAGTGGCAAACACTTCCATGTCGGCGTCAGCAAAGAGCTACGCTGCGATGTCGGTTGGAGCAACAACGGCAATGCGAGCTTTAATTTATGGCCTCCTTTTTTTTTTTTTCTTCTTTTTTAGAACGCAGCTTTTAGGCGTTCGTTTCCGGGTTTCGCGGCGTGGCCGTCGGCGTCGGCGTCGCCGTCGGCGAAACCGCGCTTTATTTAGCGGGGAAATCGACGTCTCGTGACCTCAACAGCAATTCAATTCCTCGCTAAATTTAGCTAGAAAACTGGCGTCCCGTTACCTCGGCACCAATTCAGTTTCCCAGCTAATTTTGGCAGGGAAAATGACGTTACATGACTTGGTGTCACATCACCTACGAACAAATTCAGTTGCTCTGCTAGATTTAGCGGGAAAAATTACGTCACGTGATTAGCGGGGAATTGAAATGCTGTTGAGGTCATGTGGCGTCAATTTTTCAGCTAAATTTAGTGGGGAAACTGTGGGGGAGGAGAATCGGAGGGTACGCAGGAGGAGGGGAGGGTACGGAGGAGGAGGGTAGAGGAGGGAGTTTAGGGGAGGAGGAGGAGGAAGAGGGAAGAGAGGAGAATGAGGAGGAAAGGAGGACGAGTAACAGAGGAGGAGGGGAAAAGGACGGGAAGAGGAGGGGAGTAGGAGAGCGTACGGAGGAGGAGGAGGGGCATACCCTTCCGTACACACCCTTCCCTCCTCCTCCTCAAAAGCTGCGCTCTAATTTCGCGTTAGAGAGATCTGTAAACGTCTTTCTTTTTTTCTTTTTGTCCAAGCCGAGGTTAAATTTTTGCTTGGAGCAAAGGTGCGCGGGGGGTAGCTTTGTTGAAGTCAGTGCTTCCATTCTGCGAGCGTTGAAAACGTCTTCATTAATCGGCGCGGCATCAATCAACTGTGCTTGAGGTCAATGCTATCTGAAACCAATTTGAGTTCTTTGCAACGCCTAAAATTATTTCCGAGGGTACAGTTTTCTTTACAACAACTCACAGCTTTCGACCAATTAAAGCCTTCGCCAGTAACAGCTAAAACAGCCTTGAGTCGCATGTAAACAGTAAGACTTTATACGTCTTACTGTTTTCTTACCCTAAACAGTAAGACTTTATACGTCTTACTGCTTTCTTACCCTAAACAGTAGGACTTTATACGTCTTACTGTCTTCTTACCCTAAACAGTAAAACTTTATACGTCTTTTCGTCAAAAAAAAGAAAAATATTGAACATGTCCTCAGAGACGAAAGGCATGACGGCCTAGTCCTTAGTCCTTCTTCAGTTATAGGAAGTCAGAAACTAATAAAGTTGCTGAATCACAATCAATGGCAGAGCGTATCTGGCCCGGAAATACTGAGACACCCAAATTCGAGAAACTAGACGCGACCAAGATGGCCGCGCACACAGCGCTTCCAGACAACGAAGCAGTTTCGCATATCGCGTATTAAGAGGTTAACTTTGGCCCGTGATTCCAAGAAGTTGAATGACAACTTGGACACAGTGTGACTATTTGAAAAAATGAAGCCCTCTTTAGATGCACGATTTAAAAAATATATACACAATATTTCTTTCCGAATAGTGAAATTCGCTGAGGCCCTCGATATAAAGCACCGTGCTTGAAGTAATACCCTCCTAGAAATCTCTGAATTCTCGTTCTCTAGATTTGTATTTCATTTAAGAGAAATCAAAGGCGAGGGCAATAAGTAACCGAGCAGTTACTGGATCATTATCATATATAAAACTTACCTTTAGCTATTTAACAAGAAGTAGTTTGAAAAGTATAGTTTTAAATTGAGAATCAATTTGGACATCAGCCATTCATAGTTATGTAAAATAGACCAATAACTACCATGTGCCCAAACAGTCGAAGAAAGCACACTTCTCCTAGATATAAAATATTTCTGTCCGAGTATTTTGGTTAATTATTTGAAAACTCAATCGCATATTAATCTCTGGTGGTTTGCATGAGAATTACAAGCACTGACTACGCCTCATTGCTGATTAAAAAGCCTGTTTCAAGGAACTACATGTTTTTTTTAAACTCTAAATGGCTCTAAAACAATATTTTCAGGGCCTATTCTTCTTGTTTTGTCAAATTATTAAATTACACTTCCATCAAAAGGTCCACGTACTAGCCCTGAGGCCACAATGCCTAAGAAATTAAATTAATGTTAATGCGCATCTGGTGTAACAGAATTTGTTTTTATTTCGACACTCAAAGAGGCGGAGGAGGGCAAAAACCCCGGTATAATTCTTGTGAACTGATAGTGACAAGCACACAAACTGAGAAGAAAATTAATTTAATTGAAGAGAGTAATTAGTGAGCTGTAAAATTGCAATCCTTCAGTGAGTTCTTTGCTCAGGCATATACGTATATTACTAGTTTTCTGGCATTCCAGTGTTTCCTGCAATATCTAGACAACGTGTGAAAAGTAGAGATGTTTTCACGAATATAGCATACAGTGTTTTTGGAAACGGCAGCCAAATTGCTCATGTGAAAGCTACGCATTGCAAAGAAAAAACGTTATTGCTTTAGTGACAAGTGCCAGAAAGTCCGTTAAGGAAAATTATTAGCGTTCAATTTAATTGGGTAGTTAAGTACTTTTTGTGATCGCATTTTTTATTATTAACTTTAAAGGTACGAATTAAAATCGAAACGTGATGCGAATTATCAAAATCTCCTAAATCCACCCGTGACATAACTATCTAACATATGCACAGCATTTTACGGCGTTTACAAAAACTTATCAGTCTCCTCAGATTTCATCTCTGGGCCAGCAATTCCGCCCCCCGCGACCAAAACGCGCAACATGCGTGCGTTGCAACGCATTCCACATAAAGATGCATCTTCGCACAAAAACGGACGTCAAAAACGCAAACGTCTTGTGGCAGTCCCTGAGGCTTTTTACCTAGTCTCCTCTGGGTTCGATGCGTGGCGCCGCACGTGCGTTGCGTGCTTTGGCCACGGGCAGTGGGGTACCTGGCGCGGGGAGGCACTCCAATAAGGAACAGAAACCTATAAACGCCTCCTAATTAAGGCATTTGATCGGAACGTAGCAAAATGCTGCACGTGCCCTCTATTATTGCAATGCAGGTTGATATAGTAGATTTCGCTTACGTGCTGCAAGTTTCTAACTGAAACCATGCCTTTGAACATGCATACCTTTAACCAGCCAACAATGCATTTATGCATAATAACTAAAAATAATTAATTGCCTAATTATACCAAACTCCAATCCTTTTTCTTCATAGGCCCGTTAGACCAGACCACTACGGCACTAACTTTTGCTTTTCTGTAGGATGTATCAATTTCTCAGGAGCGATTTGGCCCGCGTCTTCAAAAATAACCTGCATACACTTTTGTTGCTAGACCATTTTTTCTGTACTGAAACGGGTAATTATGACATTGTAACCTGTTTAGAAAATAAAACATTATTATTTCAGGTAACAGTGAAAGATGTAAATTCCGCAGAGGATTCCTTTGACCATGTAAGTACTCGTATTTATCGGGAGTTTATTTATCTTGTGAAGGCTATCAAACGCCGTCTCGATAAGAGATTTGTAAAACAATATTCGTATGCGTGAAGTATCTTGAACTATCCTTAAGTTGTCATTATTGAACATATACAGTCTGTCAATTAGCTTCCTTTATTTTTCTTGTTTTTATTCAAGCGCGGATTCAAGAACGGACGTCTATCGTCCATATATAGATGCCTAGATGTAATAGTGAGCTTTTCGCTTTAAAGTAAAGAATATCTTAATTGCCAAAGCACACAATTAAAGAAATCAAAATAGCATAGCCAAGCAACATTCTAAGCAACACAATTTTTGGGACAAAATATGTTTTTGTCTGGCAATTCGGGGTATTGAAAATCGAAAAGAATTCAAAATGTTTAAGAACTTGAAAATCTTTGGGAATTTTATTATCTTGGTGTTTCCGCAATAAATTGTCCAACAAAAGAAATATTTAGGCTTCACTGCTTGTTTGCTCGGTTGTCATGAGGCGTTTTTCGGCCTCAATTCCCGTGAAAATAGCAGAATTAGACCTCACTGCACGTTGCTCTGTTTTGATGTCGCTTCGTTGGCTTCTCTCTGGCGCTTGGGAAATTATGTGGCGAACAAAAGAACAACCAAACTTGACATTAAAAGTGTTATTAAGAGTCAACGAAAAGCATTTTGGCCCTAACTCTTGACTTTGAGAGACACCTTATTAGGCCCAAGTTTTATCCCTAACCTTGATAAACTTGGTTGAAGTGAGGCATTTCTCTACCGCGCGGCTTGGAATAAGGCACGCAAAAATTTACGGGTGTAGGAAGAAACTGAAAACTTAGGTTTGGAGAGGAGTGCCCCCTATTCGTTGTGAAACAAGACAAATAGACTAAACGTTCTACAAACTTCAACGCAAAAAAAAAACGTTCAACGTTTATTTAAAAAAAAAATTTTACTGGAAGGGGAGACGCGAGGTAAATTACAAGCAGCGCACTTCTCTCAACTCAGCCTTCACCACAAGCCACATGAACACAATAAGTCAGCTCGAAAGCTTGCATACTTGTTTATCTGGTTTTTCTAAGTAACCGCTTTGGGTGCAGTGGGCACTAAAAGAAAAGCCATCGGAGATTTTGTAAAACGATGGAACCTACCTGATCCTAAAAAGCGTAAGCGTTCCAATGAGAGTAGCGGACATTATTATGTATAAATAGTAAATACTTCATGTAGATACTAGCACTGGATGCAGACTGTGCGGTAGTATCTCTGCTCATAAGAAAAAATATAAAAAAGTAAGTGCAACCCCTGCAGGTGTTCGAGTAGTCAGTTTTGACATACACAGATTTTATCATCATCTTCTGTTCCTCCAAACTTCTGGTTACTCAATTAAATATCAATATTTATATTCGCTTGAGGATTTACCTTACTCATATCTAATATTATTCTCTCTTCCAGATTTTGTCAGATTCGAATGGGGAAGAGCACTTCCATGCTCGTGTAATAGTTGACTTAGAACCGTTGGCTTCGTCAGAACAAAGTCTCATGGTCGATGACCTTCTACCATCAAGAAACTACACAGTAGAGGTCTTGGCATGCACCTCAAACGAATGCAGCGGAAAGCGTACGGCCAAAGTCATCACCAAACCGACAGGTATGCTTTTTTTCTAATGTACTCGACTCACACGACGACGCCTTCACGGCTTGATTGATTTTTGCCAGGGCTACGTACACAATCAGATTTAACATAAATATTTCGTTTTGCTCTTCTGTGAAAAACTGTGACGTTGGTGTATTTTACTTTCCCATTGATGGTTTCTAATTAAAGACACAAATTACAAAAGCAATATTTCAAATTCAGACTAAGTTAGAGACATTGGCTGCTTAAGAAACGGAGGACATGAGGAATCGTGAGCGTCCTACCATCGCTCCTCAGTCAATAAGATAGCAAGATTAGCCCAATATGAACTCCAAAAACGAATCACGAGCCGAGAAGCATGAACATTCTTCGATTCTTAAGCTCTCTATGGGTATCGTTGCACGTGATTTTTTTCTTTTTTTTTGTGTGTGTGTGTGTGGGGGGGGGGGGTGATTAAAGGAGAGTTTGCTGGTTTTCTTGTTCCCAGATGGTTCTTTGTGATTACTTTCACTCACTTATGCCCACCACTCAAGAGACCTGAAAGAAAGCTCTATTGCGCTCATGTCGTTTAATCTATATCAGGCAACATTTCAAGCCCAGCTGTAACTGGATAGCTGCAGAAACGCAATGTGTTGTTCATTATGCTCACGCTGTTTGCTTCGGACTTAGTTCTACGATGATACTGTCAGCTAGCATCGCGATATCGTTAACTGCAGAGTATTCATAAAGTGCTCGGTACTCCTCAACCCACGCGTTGCTTCAGATTCCGGCCAAAATAACCTGACGAACTTATCTAACCCTACGGGCGTCCACTGCGCAGGTATATTGAAGCAACGGTCAGATCGCTTTAAATTCACTCCAGGTACACTACGTAAGGAAATTAAATCACACACCCCTTCCTCCGCATATGTTTAGTTCGTAAGTCTTAAGGGGACACAGCACAAACAAAAAAAAAAACCTTCTTAAAGCCTGTATAGAACAGGTACGTCGCAAAATAAACCCGCCCTGAAAAAAAGAAAAACCGCGATGAATACCTTTTGAGACACGTTTTCATTTCAGATAAAGTTTAAAAAGTAGCTTTCCATTCGGCATGTCCATCCAACATAGAAGTGTTTTTCAAACTCCCTCAAATTAGGCATTAGACGTATTTATTGTGTTATGGATGGACTACTAACACAAGTGTCGCTCTTTTTTATGATGTTAGCTGCCTCTATTATCTCACGTGTTAATTGGTGATGGTTCTTTCCAATTACGGTGCTATTTTTGAAGTCCACAGTGCACCCACAGTCACGGCAGTGAATGCCCAAAAGTCCTGAGTTTGCTAATCGTGTGTTGTTGTTGTGTTCCCTTAATATGTCATTTATGCATCTTCCAGTTTGTCCTACATACTGTTTGACGCATGAAAGGGGAAAGGTATAAATGACAACAACACCCGATTAGCAAACTCAGGGCTTTTGGGCATTCACTGCCATGACTGTGGGGGCAACGCGGACTTCAAAAATAGCACCGTGATTGGAAAGAACCATCACCAATTAACACGTGAGATAATAGAGGCAGCTAGCATCATAAAAAGGAGTGACACTTGTGTTAGTAGTTCATCCATAACGCTTACAGAAAAAGAATTGTTATATCTTGACTATCGAAGGTAATGTGCGATAGACATCGTTATTTGTTTCGTACAGAAGAAAACGAAGTGAGACATGACAAATTTAATACGGGTGAAAAAAAAAAAGAAAGAAGACAAAAATACAATTTGAGTTGTAAGTCAGCGCGACGTGAGTGACCGTTTTTCTGGTGTGCGTGCATTTACAGTGCGAGTGAGTTTACTTTTGCGCTTCTCCTACAATATGTATATCCAACTCTCCCAAGCACCCATTCTAAGAAGCGTACATGCTCGTGCGCGCTCGAAAGTGACCTTCCCAGCCCGAAGAGATAGAGCGCTCACATTCTTTGTATCTAACAAAACAAGTGTTGGAGAATTGAACACTATTTAATTAAGCTGTATGACCATGTTCTCTCCACCCCCCCCCCTTTTCTTTTCCTCAAATATTGCTGCATATTCTAATTTGACTATTTGTAGTTATAAATGAGGTCATTTAAGTATCGGAGATAAAAGAACTTGCGCTTACGAGACTAGGTCGTATTATATTCATACAAATTAATGAACACGAATTAGAAATTAGCATACGTCAAAATGTATAGATGAATTTATTAGAAAAGGTAAAATTATACATGTAGCTTGCAAATATTTATATGTAACATATTGACAAATTTGAACACAAGCACACATTGTCTGAGCAACAAGAAGACTGAAGGCATCTGATACCGATAAATATTTTATATCAGGATCCATAATGTATAATATTTTAAAGAGGAATACAGTAAGTAGATTAGAACGCCCCAGGTTTAGTTGGTATGTGCGGTGCAACAAAAATAAGATACGCGATGAGCAAATTAATGTAGTACACGCACGAAGTTCTTCAATCGTTGATTTTTCCAGAAAACAAATATCCTCAAGGATATTTTTAGCCGAAATAATTTCTGTGCACCATGCTAAATAAAGACCGATCGTTTCAAAATAAGACTGTTCGACAACGAATTGCCGACCTAATCGTCCTAACATGCAATATTCTATACAGAAACAAATACGCACCCAGGGCGGTGCATCTTTAAATGATAAAATTAACACCGGAATAAACAACGCTCCTGACGCTCACTCGATACTTGTACGAAGTTGTCGTGAATGCTTGAAACGAACGCCGCACATCGTAAGGAATACTTCTTTGCGAGGAGCGCGATAATGCGCCCTTGTATCCCGACAAAGCGGGTCTTCCTCAAGCGCACGGTCTGCGCGCGGAAGTAATTGCAGCAAAACAAACAAAAAGAAAAAAAAACATTTCTGCAATCGGCGACTTGACGGCTGGCGCTGCAGCGGCGGAAAACGCCAGCGTTCGTGGCAGGATTGTAGCAGCCTCGCATTCCGCGTGCACCACGAGCGCCAGCACCGCGACTACGGTGAGGGCGAGAACTAGATCTGAGTGAGTGAGGTCGGTGAGTGAGTCAGCTCATGAGTTCAATGAGGGTCGTGCATTTTTGAGTTTGGTGAGGGGCATGAGTTCAGTGAGTTCATGAGTGAGAACTTGAAAGTGTGAGCAGCCCCAGGGGTAAGGGTGAGGGAGTGTTTAACTTTTTTTTTTATTTTGAACTGGCTGTGTGTGAGCTAGTTCAACCAAAAATCTAGTCAGGGCTTATTGCGTGCAAAAAGAACAAAAAAAACTTGACTCAAAACGCCATCGAGCAGCATTTGAGGCCATCATTCTTTGAGACCAAGCATATAATTTAATTTGTGTGGTCGCCGAAAGCTAGCTCTTGTTATTGATATGAACTCAGCTAAGTTCACACCGAAGGGTACGCAGCTCTCCTTTTCAACTTTGCTTAGGGTGCGCGCCCTAACAATGGCGGACTGATATAGTTGGCGCAGGAGCTACTGGAAGGCGCGCAGTCTTAAAAAGGTATATCAGTTAAAAATCAAGGTGAGAATTTTAACTCCAAAGTCCCCGTGTCTAGTATCCCGGCCAAGCGTGCGAAGCTAAGTATTCTTATTTTATCGAAGGTGATTGCTAATCGGAACGCGGAATTAGAGTCCACTTTGCAATTGTTCACCACAGATAAAAGGAATGTCGAAATAAAAGGAGCAATAGTGCAGCTCGACGGAGTTCCCATCCCGAATTGTTAGCAGTAGAGGTAATATATATATATATATATATACATCTGAAACCCATATCAAGATCAAAACAATCCAGGTTTGAAATAGAACAAGAACTGCAAAACCGTCCATACAAGTAGGTCAAAATACAAAGAAAACAATTGCTAAAAATGAGCGACAAATGGCGTAAAATCTACAGCGAAATATAGGAACTTGATCTTGGTTACTTCAAAATCGCGGCGACGAGCTTCGAATTCCAGGGCAGATCACGCTTTTGAGCTAAAAAATAAAAGATGGCTCCTAATGTTCTACCCTTCTCATACCTCCTTCACTATGATGGGCGATGAGAATTACGACAAATTCAAACGGAGGTACCTGTTAAGATCATTTTTCTCCGTTTCAAAGTAAACAACGTCGAGTAATTAATGGGTATATGTCATCGTTCGGATATTGTTTGAATTCGAAGACAGTAGTTGCAAATATGGGTGCAACTATAAACTTTATATACGCTTTACTGCGGTTTAGGGGTAAAACGGTTGTAGATAAGGTCACAATGTTTTGATGTATGGATACTGCCTTTTAATCTTTGTTGTTCGGCTGCACCTTAGGAATTGTCAATTTTGGTATATGGTTCTGTAATAAAAAGGAAAGCCGTCATTTTTTTCTTATCCTCTGAGTTTAAAAGAATGCAAAGTAAAACTGAGTACTGTCCATCGTCGCATCACTGAGCATATATATATAAGCACTGATTTTCTAAGGCTCCTATTTAGTCATCAAAAATATATGTGGTATCTTATTTCAAATTTATGAAGATGTCTGTACGGAGCTCTTTTTTTCCGTAATAATAAAACTAAAATTATAAGTGGTACTTTTAAGAAGAGCTACTTAACTACAGCGTATTAAATCTGCGAAGTATATTTGAAGTACATCGCCGAGAATTCGTGTATTATTTTTGGTGCTCCGAAGATTGTTTTCTGTGCATAAAGCTGCAAATGAATTTGAACTACTGTAATCTTTCAAACAATAAAAAATATTAAAAAATATTTTTATATATGCTTCTCGCACGTACATATTACAAAAGCTCTCAAAGGTTGTTGGATGGAAACCTACTTCGCGACACCATTAGCGCAAACATATTACCGGCGCGTTTTAGAAACCTTCGTCATGCAGAATAATTTCGACTACTGTATTGACCACCTTACCCAGTGACGGAATTTCTGTTGATATGAAAATAACGTTCTAAACCTACAAAATAAGAAAAGACACAACGGCCGCGTTTGTTTAGAAAAGGTGCGGCTCGCTCTAAGAGCCATTTTCTTGTTTAGTTTGACGCAGTTGTAATTCCGACTATTCCCTCCATAAACAAGTTTCATGCATCTGCCTGAACAAACAAGGGTAAACTTATATATTGTTTCTTATGGAATTGATTTCATCTCATGTTAGCAAACTCGGTGAATTGAAGTTTCAACTTACTATTTTCTAAGGTACGAAACGGTCAACCAGTTACCTTAGTCATTAAATTCAAATATAACTTTACCTTTCCCTTGAACACCCCTTTCTGCCTATTTCAACGATCGTCGCCGCTTGGACAGTCCACGCTGCTTCCACGCGGGGAACCGGGTTCGAGTACCGCAGTGCGTTTCGCATTTTAGATTTTTGTTGTTTCGCAGGAAAGTTCCAGTGCATTCTAGTTAGTTACCGTGTCTTTCTGGATAAGGACCTTCACGAGAATAAACCTTGTATACAAAAGAAGTACAACACTGCAAGTAGTCAGTCTTTTGTTAGCGCTCAATGCTGTTGCCCGGCAACATCCACTTTACCCGTTTTCATCAAAAGAAAAAAAAGACGTTTTGCTCAATGTTCATGCGCCGCGCGAAATAGTTCTTACAAGAATTGTTTGTCTGAGGCAGAAGCGAGGATTTGGGGTTTTAAACGCCATGAGAAGATAACATATACCAAATGTAAAATGCAACTATAATTTATCTAAATTCTCAGCATAAAGAGGCAAATTAGTAATGCTCTGCGAGAAGCCGTACAGTTTTTACTACGATTCTTTAGGTGAAAATGGTTATATTTAACTTTTATTTTAGCACAAGTTCTCCAAAATAAATATTTAGTGCACTCAAATATTTATTATTTCTTCAAGCGTAATCCCATGACACTCATAACATTTTATTGGTTTAGAAATATACAAAGTCGACCTGTGAATTCTTTTTTTCAGTCACCCCAAAACCCAATATTACGAGAGTAACTTCCAACCTTGATTCCTTCGTGGTGAGCTGGACCTTCCCCCAGGATGAATCGGGTTACTACGACGGCTTTCAGGTGCATTACTGCAGACAACTTTTGCTATGTCAAGAAACCTATACGTATGTCAACCTTTTGAACGTGACCAACCTAACTCCCAACTCTACATACGACGTGGAAGTTCGAGTTCGAATTAAACATGTCGATGGGCGTGTTGAGCTGGGACCCGTGGCCACAGTTCAAGTGAAAACGTGGAGTATACGTGAGTATCCTTACCCTCTTCAGATACAAAATATTTTGGAACGTGTTTGGTACAATTTTGGAGAAACAATATTTATATTTCTGAAGAACATAAACATCTGTTTAAATTCGTGGTGAGGGCACGCACTGTAAACAATGTGTGAAGTGTATTCCCTTCATATATTTTATTCGTGTTTCAAGATTTTACACTACGTTGAAAATGCGAAATATTACTCTCATTAAAGAAAGGTTTCATTTTCTTACGAAGCTTTTTGGGACTTTATCCCTTCCAAGACACCTTCTTTACATGAATCGTAAGCGCCGGCTAAATTATATAAGAAAAAATAGAAACCTCTGCTACAGAGAAATAAGGCGGATGCACCACATCAATATTTTCCTTTGCGCAATACGAATGATCTAAAGTGGAAGTCAAAATATATACTCGAAGGCTTTTGGTTTATTTTTATAGAAACGAACGCATTATAACAATTTTTGGCATGACAATGCAGAACGTTTTCACATATTTAGACATAAGCAGGAAAGTGTAATAAGTTTCAATTGTCCAGTGATTCGTTTGGTTCTCTTGCAGTTCCCCAAGAACCAGGATTGGACATTCGTGCTCCTGGAGCGTCAGCAAACTCCGTCCTTCTTTCTTGGGTCTTCATCAACAGCAGCGTCACTCAACTACAGTTCCTTTGTAAACAATATCGGGGAGAAACGGCAGCCTCCGAACGTTTACAAAATCCAGTAAGTCATTATTATTTTACTGAAATCATAACTCGATGACATTTTTCTCGGTTCCGTTGAACTAGACCTGATTACAGCAGCAAAACATCTTCGTGGGTTATTCTTTCATTGGCCATTCCGAAGCGATAAACAAAATCCGAAAATTGTATTCCCAGGTTTCTTATTGTTAGTTGACCTTATTAATTTTATATTTAAGAAATAGACATCACTGCACTCGATAAAAGCGTCTTTCGAGTGTTCCTGAGGTTTAGAAACTTTCCTAAATTTTTCGTGTTAAAAAAAATAAACGATGCTCTTTGCGGGCGTCGTTTCTTGTAAGGGTGTACAGAAAGTCACGATTTTGAGTGCTGCACTTATAATCATAAGTTTGTGCACACCCTTATATAGCGTTCATATACAGGGTGTCACAAAAGAAAATGTACAGGTTTGTTGGGTTTTTTTACCGCAAAAATAAACTAGGCATCACCGAACGCTCATTTTCCGCCCGAAGGTAACGCTAGAGGTCACAACCAGAGGCCAAAGTTTCAGCCCGATCCGACACCTTAATCAAAAGTTATAAATGATTTTCTGAACAGTTTAATGGAAAAATGGCGGCTGACGAATTTTTCGAATACATGGGGCTCTATGGTACCAGAAACCAAAAACGGCAAAAATGGTCTCCCTTTTCCGATTGAACTTTCAAAAACCCACTTATAACTTTTGAATGCGATACCTGATCGGGCTGAAACTTTTGCATCTGGTTGTGACCTCTAGCGCTACCTTCGGGCGGAGAATGAGCGTTCGGCAATGCCTAGTTTAATTTTTCGGTAAAAAAACCCTGTAAATTTTCTTTTGTGACCCCCTGTATATGTATATATAAACAAACATGTGCAGATGAATGAAGCGTACTTAATCCAATTAATCAAAGAATCAAAGTTTTCAGGAACCCGCCGAAAGCCAAAAATTGTCGGAGCCAGGATCAAATCAAAGTTCCTGAAAACTTTGATTCTTTCAATCATTGGATTAAGTACGGTTCATTCATCTGCTCATATTTTTATATCCTCCTCGGAGACCACGTACGATGGCGTGAAGTGCCCGTGTTGTATATGTGTATATATATATATATATATATATATATATATATATATATATATATATATATAACGGGCACGGAAGGCTCGAACACGGGGAAAGGAGAAAAGATTCAAGTATGTTTGGGTTCGAAATGGCAAGATCTTTGCCAAGCGGCAAGATGAGGCAACCCCAGTGCGCATCAGCTGTGAACACGATCTTGAACTGATAAACTAAAAGGATATTGGATCTAGAGAGGACCGTCTGATTATGGACTGTGATGACTTTCGTACTTTTGTTTCATTTTCAGAAGTACAGAACTTTTTTACAAGTTTCAAAGGTAAAACTTTTAGTATTACCCATGTTAATATCCGAAGCATCCGGAAATACTGGGACCATTTTCTCGCATTAATCTCCCCTTTTTGCTTTTGTTTTGATGCTTTTGTACTGACCGAGATTAACATTTCTTCGGACAGTTTCTCTAAGTATAAAATACCAGGCTATGAGGTGTTCTCTTATACTCGTCCAATGGGAAGAGGAGGGGGTGTGGCTGTGTTTATAAAAAATAGTTGGTCGGTGGCCGAGTTAAAATTTTCATTCCAACAGGCAGAAGTAGTTACGCTGCACTTAAGCACTCCTTTGTTATCCCTGGTCCTTTTCTCAATCTATCGTCCCCCGTGCTGTAATGCACGGTTATTTCTGGCCGAATTAGATTTAGCTTTGTCCACTCTTTCATCTGAAGAGCTTGTATGTGTAAACGGCGATATTAATATCGACGTACTTCGTCCCACAGTGACCATAGTCGCAGACTACCTTGATGTTTTGTCTAAATGGGGCCTAAAAGCAACAATTCAGAAGGCAACACGGGAGGAATTCATCTCTGGCCAGTTGGTGGTATCTAACATTGATCATATAAACGTACGAGCACAGAACGTAGTAATTCAGTCTGCAATTATTGAAACGAAACTTGCTGATCATTATTTTGTCTGTTGTTCATTAACACAGATATCTAAGCCGTTGACTTATGTTGGCGCTGTGAGGGAGTTGTCAATAGTTGATCCCAGGCACTTCGATAAACTTGTGGAGCAACATGATTGGAATACTTTTCTTCTAACTACATCTCCAGCTGACGGTTATGAACAGTTTGTAGCTCAGTTTAACCTCTTTAAAAAGGCGGCTACACGCACTGTAAAAATTAAACATCGTAACATAGACCAGAAATGGATGTCTTCAGAAATATTGGCAGCCATCAAAGAAAAAGATCTTTTATGGGCATAGTCAAAACGCTCCCCCGGTAACACTATGCTACGATTGAAATTTAAGCAATACAGAAATAAGGTTAATGCCATGATTCGTCAGGCCAAACGCATGCACTTTAGAAATAAATTTAAGGACGCTCGTTCTGATATAAAAAAAACTTGGTCGCTCATCAACGATCTCCATGGTACGAAGAAGTGCACTAAAAGCAATGATAGCTACCCTCTTTCGCAATTCTCCACTGATGGACAGAGTATTGCTAATGAATTTAACAATTTTTTCTCTCAAGTATCAGGTATTGCAGGGCAACACCCAGCTTCATGTACCTTAAACAAAAGTGTCTTAGACTCGGCTTATCTTCCTCTTCTCTCTGAAGAAGAGCTTAGGTCAATCCTTTTTAGCCTTAAGCCCAATAAATCTCCAGGTATCGACGGTATTTCAGTTAATGACTTGCGCAGAAACTTTGAAGGGATTAGGGCTGTTCTACTTTCGATTTTTAATCACATAATATCTAATGGTATCATCCCATTAGCAATGAAAACAGCTTTGGTGATTCCATTATTCAAGGGAGGCGCGCGAAATAACGTAGAACATTATAGACCTATTTCCGTTCTGTCTTGCTTTGCTAAAATCCTGGAAAAACATATGTGGATAACTATGAATAGCTTTTTAGATAAACACAGTTTACTATCTCCTTATCAGTACGGATTCACACAAGGCCGAGGTACTCAAATGCTCCTTGAGGACTTTTCTGACATGCTCAATTTATCTTTTGAACGGAATCAAGTTGCCTGCGCACTGTTCCTTGATGTCCGCAAGGCATTTGACAGTGTTAACCATCACATTTTGATAACAAAGCTTTCAAAGTTAGGCTTTCGAGGTTCTTTTCTAAATTTACTGGAAATCTTTCTACAGGATAGGCGTCAATGTGTTTCATTTGGAGGGTATCAAAGCGGATTCTTTTCAATCAAAGGGGGTGTCCCCCAGGGCTCGGTTTTAAGTCCACTGTTATATAATCTTTATGTTAATGACCTCTCCATGGTGGTACCAGTTTCGCTATTTCAATATGCTGACGACACCGTTATTTTATCTAGAGTGTCCAATTATTCAGATGCCTTTTCGTCTTTGCAAACTGCGGCAATTAAAACTATGGACTGGTTTGAAGCTAATTTAATTAAAGTTAATGCATCCAAAACGCAGCTAATATGTTTCCACAACCCTTTGAAAAAAGTTAATATGACCTGCTCTTTACGATTACATACGTCCAGGTGCCTATCATGTGCATGTGAGCCTATACAGCATATATCTTCTATAAAATATCTTGGCCTATTCTTTGACAGTGACCTAACCTGGAACACTCATCTTGCTCATGTGTGTAAGAAAATTCGTGCAGTGTCTTGTTTGCTATACAACATGAGATATTTTATGCCACTATCCGTTCGAAAAATTGTTGTACATGCTCTTGTTTACAGTGTGCTCCGTTACGGTATTACCGTGTATGGTCATTGTTCTCTGCGTTGGCAAATTCGAATTAATTCAATTCTGCGTTCTTTGCTAAAAAACATTTCCTATGATTTATGCCTAGATAAGGACATTGATGTGTTTAAAGCACTGCATTTGCCTGATTTTAACTCGCTCTTGATGGAAACTGTTGTTTATAGGCATTTTTGGGATAGTCAATTTAAAGTTCCATATGTCCCTTCTCGTATTCTTAGACCCAAAGAGCGTTACCGGATACCTCGATGTTCGACAAGATTTGGAAAAAGAGCTCGGAGTTACTATGTACCAGCATTTATGAACAAACTACCTTCTAGTATTCTAAATTTAAGAACAAAATACAAGCTCAAGAAAGCCCTGAGAAATTTTAGATCGTAAAGTGCTCACTAGTTTGCTTTTGTTATTCTGATTTTGTGTGGATTTTATTTTACATGTTTCCTTTTGCAAACGGCATGGTTTCACTGATTTTAAGACGCTGCCAGTCAAGCCCAATGTGGCTTAGGCAGGTCAGACTTATCATACGTTATGTTCATTTGCAATAAAATTGTCATTATTATTATTATTATTATGGTGGCGGGAGGCCGAAGGTGTGGGTATAAAACTGAGAAGAAAAAAACCCTTAGTGAAAAACAGCAACAACGGACGATTTAATCTTCGACGTTTCGGCCGGAGTCCGGCCTTCGTCAGGAAGCTTCCTGACGAAGGCCGGACTCCGGCCGAAACGTCGAAGATTAAATCGTCCGTTGTTGCTGCTTTTCACTAAGGGTTTTTTTCTTCTCAGTTTTATATATATATATATATATATATATATATATGTGTGTGTGTGTGTGTGTGTGTGTGTGTGTGTGTGTGTGTGTGTGTGTGTGTGTGTGTATGTGTGTGTGTGTCATGGCGCATTCTGTGTAGTGTCAGACTAAGTGAGTGAAAGAGCCAAATGAATGGAAGTTTCATATTGTTTTCCAGCTTTACATACGTAAATCACACTTAGACATTCGGCATCTAAGGTTTTCTTCCTGTGGCCCGAAATTTTTGTTTTAATTGCATAAAGACTTTCGCATTACGAATAGTTTTAACGAAGAATAATAATCGTTTTTCCCATAAGATCTAAAAATTCACAATATTTCAAATGAATAGTGCACTACGCTTTCCACCAATTTTAATGCATTAAAATAAATAGCAATAGCAAGCGAAAATAA